GAAAAAAAGCCTTCTTATTAAGACATGTAAAACTCCCAAAGTGTCTAATCATCAAATGTGCCTTGTTTCTCAACAGGGAATGGAAATAGTGCAGACCATGAACAGTGACCCGGGACTCGCTGTTGGTAGGATCCACAGTCCTCAGTCAATGACAAGTCAGCTTTTCTGAACAAAATCCCGCCTGAACATGCATGTTCTTGTGCCAGGATACACTGCTTTCAGTGGAGTCGACTTTGAGGGGACTTTTCACGTGAACACGGTTACCGACGACGACTACGCCGGCTTCATCTTTGGCTACCAGGACTCGTCGTCCTTCTATGTGGTGATGTGGAAGCAGACTGAGCAGACTTACTGGCAGGCAACCCCTTTCAGAGCTGTGGCTGAGCCCGGCATCCAGCTGAAGGTGAAAGCAGGAGGGATTTCCACAGCAGCAGTAGAGCATCGGCACTCTCAGCTTGTCTAAAATGTGTTTCTGATGCTTTTGTCATTTTGGTTTTTCTGTGTTTTAGGCTGTGAAGTCCAGGTCGGGCCCTGGGGAACACTTGAGAAACTCACTGTGGCACACAGGAGACACCAACGACCAGGTGCGTCTGCTGTGGAAGGACCCAAGGAACGTTGGCTGGAAGGATAAAGTTTCCTACCGCTGGTATTTGCAGCACCGTCCACAGGTCGGATACATCAGGTATGATGAGCCCTTTCTGGTTTTGTGAAAGAAGTCTTTCAAATTTTACTTCTTACTAAAAGAAACAAAAGAATATTCTGCGCATGATAAAGCCCTTTTCATATCCAAGCAGGAGAAGTAATATCATGCTGCGCGTTGTCTGAGCAGAAATTTCAGAAAGTTCTCATGTTGCCTTTGAAGTCAACATGAGAGAAATTTCATCAAAGAGAGGAGCAACAACGTTTCCCTTTTTCTCTTGCTCAGAGTGAGGTTTTACGAGGGAACTCAGCTGGTTGCAGATTCTGGTGTGACTATCGACACAACCATGCGAGGAGGGCGACTCGGCGTGTTCTGCTTCTCACAAGAAAACATCATCTGGTCCAACCTGAAATATCGCTGCAACGGTACAAAAATACAAACACACTTCTACATGGTTGCTTTCTGTAAGTTTATGGAATAATACACCCACGGTTACTATGCAATCTGGAAATGTATAAAACTCTTTCTGTAAAAAAATGCATGACTTAATTTTTATGTCCAAATATATTTTTTTAAATATCTAAATGAAAAATATTGAAGATGCTATTTACATTCAATTAATATCTAATTATATGTACACACAACTTAAATTCTTGTCACGTTGATTAGATTTGTGAGTGATTGACTGAGAAGCTCCAGATATTTCGCTTTTCATCCAAAAGTAAAAAGTAATTAGGACACTGCTTTTTTATTTCAATAATATATCACACTTAAATGTCAGATTTTATACAGCACATAATACGAAATAGTCACTGTTAATACAAAATGGCAGCTGTTGTACAAAGCTATCTAAGGAAGTCCTGGAGACTCCAATGAGGCGTTAACTTTCAGTTTTTTAAAATGTTCTACATGGTTTCATAGCGAACGCTAACACTTCACTCATCAGTCTCAGCATACACTTTCCCATGGCCTGTGTTTGAGAAGGTGTTTTGTCTGATCTTGTTTCAAAAAGACTATTTTCAGCCCCCCTCATGCCTTGTGCTCTAACACTTCCCACAGACACCATCCCAGAGGATTTCCAGGAGTTCAGCGCTCAACACACCGTTGACTCAATCTAAAGTCAAGACTTTTAGATGACTCCAGATCCACCAGGAGGGCGTCTCTGTGTGGGTGCATCTGTATGCATGTGAGTGTGGTGGGGTGCGTTCGTGTGTGTGTGTGTGTGTTTGTATGGGGTTTTTTTTACAGTGTTACAGATACAGAAACATATATGACTACAATTTTGTGCTGTAGGATTTATTGCTGTGCCCTTTTATTCAAATGTGGTCTCTCTAATCCTCCTTGTAAAGGCCTCAGTTAAGAAAAGATAAATGTCTGTGTTTTTAAGTATAATAAAGTTTACACTTCATGCAACAAATATCAGAAGATCAGAAACATGTTCCAGATAATACTTAAAGCTGTATTGTTTGGGGGAAAATATAAAATAAGCAGTTTAACCACATGAGCAACCTGCATCATTTGATTACAAAATATGTATCAACCATTTTCAACCACAAACATCCTGTATGTTTTCAAATATATGTTTCAAATATATCTTTGTCTCCAGTGGATGGCAAGTGTAAGTTGTGGTTGTGCAGGAACTTCCCATATAATAGACTATTATTTCTTTGGTCTCTTGTATTAAAATGTCAAAATTTTAACTGACACTCAGTAATTTGCAAGTTCCTCCAGAAAAACAGAGGGAAAAAAGTGTCTTGGGGAAAAAAAATAATAAATTGCTCAATAAAATACCTTGTTTTAAGAAGATGGTGTTCACTTTTCTGCTTCTGTAAAGAAAATAAAAATCTTGTGTGCATTTGTTGTTCCCCTTATTATCCTACGTTGCACTTCGTTCATTCCGAAATGACTGCTGTCTTCTTTGTCCTTTACTCAGACATTCATACATCCAAATCAGCGACGCAGGGGAAAATGTTGCCTGAAATCAGCGGTAACCTGACATGAACAAAGACTCTGTAAAAATACACATAGCATTTTTCTCAATTAATGCCATTAAAACCCCTTAAAGTTTTTGTGACTAGGTTCTTAGGATTAACAAAATAGTTTCTTACCAAGTTAGTTCTATTAATTTGCTGTTTTGCCTTAATGATCAGTTGAACATTTAGAGGAAAAATGCTGAAATTGTACACCTGACACCGCCATCAATCGACAAACCAACACATTCTTTATGGATTATGCACATTCTAACAACTTTTGGTCAGTAGCTTATATATGATAGACTCTAAATATTAACTACATAATGTATGTGTTAACAATTTAAAGCTAGAGATTTTGTAAAACAAACAACTTGTTTGGATCTTTCCTCCTCCAAAGAATAAGTTTACTCAAACCAAAGGGTAATTTTTTTTTCTAATATTTTCACTGTTTTCTAGAATGTTTTATACTTCTTTACCATGAAACTAGGTTACTGACCAGTTCATAAAAAAAACTTTACTTCACAGAGCATCTCTTTATTCCCAGCAGGACTGTGGAAACAATAACCACTGCACTGCTTAGTCAGAAAATCCTTTTTATAGCTGATCATCTGCAGCATGGGCCAGCTTTGTTCTCAGGAATCTCACAGGAAACAAGCAACAACACAGCATCTCAAATTTAGCTGATGGCTGAAAGACCTGCATTTACATCGTTAACACAGAAAAGGTAAGAAAATTGTTTAATCTGGTTTTTGACACAACACTAACAAATCTCAGATGCACGTTCTTTTTCCTGATGTAAAGTTTTAGTTGCAAATAACACAAACTACTTATAGTACTGTGAAAAATATTCCCCCTCCTAAGTAGGAACAAATTAATTTTATTCAGATTATTATAAACATGTTGCTGTGTTTTCATTTCTTGAGAGGAAAAAAGCCTTTAAAAACAGTAAGATTTTTGTGAACAAGCAACTGAACCCTTTGCAATAACACTTTTGAAGAAATGTTTTATTTCTGCCCCATTTTGGAGGCTTTTTCAACACAAACTGCATCTCAGTCAGGCCATCAGTATATACATAAGTATATACAAACACTAATAACTTTGCAGTCTCAATTTAATACTAGAACTATCTGATGCATTGCTTGCTAGACAACAGTCCATCAGAGCGACTTATGATCATAGCAGTTTTATCATCTTTCAGTTTTGTTGTTCAGAGAGTTCTGTTGAAAAGCTGCTATATTTGTTGACTCTGGATGTTTTGTCACAGAACAAAAGAGTTGCACATCAAGAGGTTCACTGCTCCCTGAACAGCAACAATAATAAAAAGAAAAGAAAAGGAAAAAAAAAGTTTTTGTGCAGAGATCCGTGGCTGAGGATGTTGCAGTGGGAAGCTTCCTCACAAAACTGCTTTGATCGTTCCTTCAAAATGAACCAAAAGATAAATTAAAAACCAAAAATAGGACAGAAGGGACTGAAGGAAATCAATGCAGCAGACGGGGGTGGGGGCACAGGTTCAGATGCCAGATCTGTCTTCTCTGCTGGAGTCATTTTTACTTCAGAGAGCAAAAAAGGGAATCAACTTCACACAGATTCAGTTTGTGACTTGGTATTGACTTGTCAGCAATTTGTGGGATGCATAGTGCAGATTAGAGAGTTTGAAAAACTGCTGAATATCTATCTGTCTGTCTCTCTTTGTCTTTCTGCATGCCTTAATTCTCTCCTTTCTTTCACCATTTGCACTTCTGCTAACACAATTACTGCTTTTATTTGGATGTTCATAGGAGACTTGAGCCCCTTGGTGACTCTAGAGAAGCTGCAGAAGTAGTTTAAGGGATACCAGAATATGTTGATAGGAAAAGCAACAAGTTATAAGATCATCATGGAAAAATGGTGGAAACAAAACCTTTGTTTATAGAAAAACATAGGGGGTCCTATTCGCAGTTTGCCACAAGGAGACAAGGTAAACACGTAGAATACTGTGCTGAACGTTTTGATCAATTTCTTGACCAGCACGGACAGGAAAGCTGGTCAGATAGAAGTAAAGCTGCTAGAGGCTTGATATTTTCAGGAAGTCTATGACCCTCAACATAGACGAAAGCATTACGATTAAAAACCTCAAAGGGGATTCTGCACATTATGGACATGAACTTACTGTCGTCTGTATTTGTATTATTTGCCATGTTAAAGAGAAATGCTGACAAGCACAGGACCCAGCAACCAACTTTCAGCAGAGCCTTCGGGTCGTTGCCTCAGAGCTGTCAGATTTTTCACAGGAGACATGTGACAGAGTGTACAGTGGGTGAAAAGTAGGTGGTATTCACTCTGATTTATTTATTTTTTTTAACTCTGCTTAATATTTTAGTCAAAAGAAGTTTTGACCTTCTTGTCTGACAGGGCAGGTTCTGATAATCCAGCTGCTGGACAATATTTTACGACTAAAAAAGGGAATGTTTGTCATGTTTGTCAGTAACCCTGTCAGTGGATTTCTCCTGTTGATTGGCCTGTTCCTGCAAAACTCCTGGTGGGCTCTAAACTCTCTTCTGGGAACATTCGTCTCCACTGTGTCGGCGATACTCCTCAGACAAAACAGGTCAGATGGCTCCATTTTGTCCTTTTCAACAAAAAGATAAATACAAAAGCCCAAAAACAGATTCACGCTATTCTACAGAAAGATTGTGCTTCTCCTCCAATTAGCTTCAGACTCAGTGAGATTTTATTTCTTCTGGTCCCAAATGTGTTCATGTCCATGTTGTGGTGAGTCAAAGAAAAAACAAAATACCAGTAAAGATTTTCTGCAGATTGGAAATGAAAAGTGGATAAAGTAAGAAGGAGCAACTTTGTATATTGTTTCTGCCGTTGAGATTTTTACATAAAGTAAATAAAATTCTTCAGACTTGTTAAAGACAAGTAGAAATGTAAAAGAAAATTTGTTTTTATTTAAGAAGCAAAATCTCACACAAAAACAATTAAAACAACTATTGAAGAGGGGAGAAAAAAGAAACCTTCAAAAAGTATTACATTTAATAAAATCCAGTGTCAAATTGGCAAACTAACGTAACTTTATTTTTGAAGTTGACCAGGTCTTCCAGTAACCTTTTCCAGTTTTTCCCAAGGCAAAGCTTTGCAGCTCATTTCCTATGAGTCACATTTTAAAACAGGAAAGATGTTATATGACATTACAACATTACAAAGATCTGTTGATCTTCAAAAATCTGGTTATTTTTCAAGGAAATAGCTACTCACCTAAACATTTCCGTACATAAAGTCTCAGCGTCAGCTTGAGCTGTCATGAATAAGACTGACAAAAAAAAAACAACTCAATGTGAGAGAACCGAAGCAAAGTGAGAAATCCCTGCTGTAATTAGGTCTCCATGGCAACCTTTAAATGCCATTAGATGCAGACTGTTTGTCTGGGATGCAAGACAAAATCGACTTTTTAGTCATATCATAATATCCCAATCCATGTCTCAATATTTGGCTTTTGTTTAAAAGAATAAATGAATTTTTTAAAAAATCTTCTGGATATTTGACTCAAATTCTGACTGTTTGTGAGATCCGACTGAGGTTGAGTTTTTCAGCAACAAACATTCCAGTGGCGCAGCGGCGTGAAACCATATCTGGAAAAGATCTGAATGCTCAGTATTAAGCACGGAGGAGGTTCTCCGATGCTGTGGGCCAAACAACCCAGAAGATTTGAAGTTCAGTTCTTCGAAATACTTTTAAAAATAAAATCTTGTTGCCACAGATACATTTTTTTGTTTTTGTTTTTCTAGCTGTATCATGATCCAAAATATGTGGCGAAATCGACACTGAAATAATTTGCCATGCTTCTTCCATCACCACCTCACTATATAGACCTACAACCTATGATAAACCTGCGGGGAGCCCACAAGTCTGGCAGGAATAATTTTATTAATACAAATATTTAATCGCAGTATATCCCTAATAAATCTGTGCACACAATTATACTTCTTCAATATGAAATTAGACCACTACAAAACAATGTTAACGTCGTTAAACCTTTTAAAGCTCTACCCACGGTTCCACTTCTGACAGTATTTGATAAACAACCATTTAATGTTTTGATCGCTTCTAATTTTTCAGTCTTTAATTCTTTATTTGTTTCTCTGTTAACAGCCCTGTAGTCTCCAGTGCTTTGTCCTCCATTATGACCAAATGGGATCTCCCAATTTTCACTTTGCCTTTCAATATCCTGACTTGCTTACACACCGCAGCAACAGGAACCACTCACCCATGTTTTCCAGAGGCATGTATTAGGTCTCACTGTATGCACACAGTAGAATTTTCTCAGGTGGTTTGTATTATAAGAAAAAGTGAAACTATTTTTTGCACCTTTAGGTGAAAATACAGCCCAAACTACAACTGCCCCATAGCGACTTCCTTGCAAACCTCAGTATACCCAAGGTGAATGAATACCTGCACATAATCAAAATCACTGCAGAACATTTTGACACTCAGCTCAGATGCAGTGCTTTTTTTATTATTATTTACAGCTATTCTTGTCTGTGCCAGTTGGCATTGGCCAGGTGTTTGGCTGTGACAGTCCCTGGACGTCGTGTCTCGTCCTTCTGGCCCTGCTGCTTTGCTCGCCAGCTATCTGCTTACATGCCTTGTTGGGCTCTGCTGCTGGTCTGTGCACGGGTAAATAGACACTGAGTTATTTGCAGAAGGGATGGTGGAAAGTTCAATGCGTAAAAATGTGCCAAAACTTGTTTCCTCCAACACAAATATGCAGACTGCATACTTATTTGGTGAAAAAAAGTAACCAAAGTGTGCATACTTTACATAGATGGCAAAATGCCTCGCAAAAGCTTTAATATCTCTTCAACTTTTTCTTGTCTTTGCATTAAACGTGGAACATTTCCAGTTTATTTGTATTTAAGTTGAAGTTTAGAGCTAGACCAAAACAAAGTAGTTGGGGATGAAAACGCATGCATGGTTTTCTAAATGTGTTACACATAAACCCTCGGAAAGCACTGCGTCCTGATGAGACACGATATCCCACAGAGCCAACTATTGTTGCAATTTAAGTCTTTTTAGTTGCCTCTACCAGCTTCATACACAAAGATGAACATTTCTCCTCATACTTCTTTGCAAATTAGCTGAAGCCTAGCCTAAGAATGTCCCTAAGACACATTTGTGAATATCAATGTTCAAGTCTTGAAATGGATTTTGATCAGTACATTAACTGGAGAACTACACAACATGAAATTGTTTAGCTTGAAGCTTATCGTCTGTCTCATTTTAAAGGAGTTGTTGCCAAGTAATAGATTTTTCTTCCATTGTTGCCTTGCATTTAGCTCCATCCATTTTACCAGGAGCTGAAGAAAAGCATCCGAACAGTGTGATGCTATGACCACAATGTTTTCCAATGGGCATGTTGTATAAATATGGATGTGTCGTGTTTTTCCCCCCTGCATTGTCTTTTGCATGTAAACCAACTAGTTCCGTTGTCTGACCAAAGCAGCTTTAAAAGGGTTAACAGCTTTACTGGAAAATTTCTCTACTTTTTACATTTCTATTTATTAAAAATTGATAGAATCACCCGAAAGAAAATGTTGCGAGTTCTGAAAAAAAAAGAGGATGCACTGAGTTTTCCTTCAGGAGGGCTCAGTACATTTATGGAACATGCTTTTCAAACATGCACTGTTTCGTGTGAAGCTGTCACATAAAATCTCAACAAAATGCTTTGATGCCTCTGGCTGCACGTGATATGACCACTTGTTCTTTGAATTTTGGTGCAGGACTTGCATTAGCTGCACCTCACGAAGACGTCTACTCAGGACTTTGGGGATATAACAGTGCGCTGTCCTGCATTGCTATTGGAGGGGTCTTTTATGGTTTAACATGGCAGACACACATACTGTCTCTAATATGTGGTAAGACTGAAAACTAAGTTTATTATTCTTCATCAGAAGTAGAAAACCGTGCTATAAAAGGTGTTTAAATGTCTTTTTCAGCATGTATCTGTGCATACGTGGCCTCAGCGATGTCAAAACTAATGTCTGTGGTAAGTTCGAAAGTTTCTTACTTTCGGAGGCTAATCATAGACCTTATCTGCAGGTGTCTCTGAGACAACGTGTCATGCTCTCCCACTTCTGTCCCATTCCCTATCAGCTCGCATTACCGGCCTGCACATGGCCTTTTTGCCTGTCAACTCTCATCTTCCTCCTACTTTCCTCGGAGAACTCGGCCATCTGCAGGCTGCCCCTGTCCGCTGTCTCCTACCCTGAGGAAAACCGTCACTACCTGAGACAATTAAGGATGTCAGAAAAGGCTCTGAGCAGCTGCAAGCCAGAACAGACTCCCGAGGGAATGGAGGGATGAATTCTTACCCGGAAATGTGAAAAGCAGTTACATTGAGTCTGTGAGAAAGATGCTATTTTGTATCAGTTTGAATGTGGTTGTTGTGATGTTCATGTTTTCTGCTTATATAACCAGATCAGTTACATAAAAATGAGTGTTTTCTGGTCGAATAATGCTTTGCACACAACGCAGTACATCTTGTGCTCTGCAGGTGGCGACAAACAACCACAAAAACAAAAAGCCAGACCAGATGAAAAATCAGGAAGATGTAAATATGTACCTGAACTATCAGTTGCAAGTTGTTGCGAGAAATTTCATTAATAACATAAAATAGTTTCTACCATGTGTGAAATCATTTAGGGCTCCCATGGGGAGAGGGGATGTGAGCATTCTTCTGCTCCTCATAGCCCAGTTTTGGTGGGTGCTTGTAGAAGATTTAATATTCAGCAGAGTCTTTCATCAATACAGACAATAAGCTGTGGGATATTTTCCAAATTGTTCCCCCTGCAAAATCCTCTCTCACTGCCAGCGATAATCCATCACTGCATTTCAATCTGTCCTCTTGATTTTCAGTCATTTCTCTTTGCTTCTCCCTTGTTTTAACCACTTTTTCATGAACCGGTTGTGTCGCTTATCTTTTCTCTTTCTCTTCATCCGTTATCTGTCTTCTCTTCATCTCTTGGATGATAACAGCCAATCTCGCCCCCTTCAAACAGAGCAACAAGATTTCAGACGTTTTGAAAAGAAGATGACAGGCTGCACACTAGGAGCTCTGTCTGGGTCGATGTTTGCCTGTGCATCTTAATGTCTGTGCCGCCATTTGGCTGTCTGTCTGTGCATCTGGTGCACTGAAGTCTGGCCAGAGTGAAAAATCAGAGCCAGTCACACTTACAGAAATGTGTGAGAGATGCAGACAAGGGGGGTGGAGAGAGGAGAAGGTGTGAGACGTGACAGGGGGATGGAGTTGAGATTTTTTCTCATAGTACATGGTGTTTCTCTTTGTGTTGTTTTAAGCTATGTTGATTCATCTGCTGCCCTTTGAAGGGCAGGGTGAGGGTTGGGAGCAGAATGATGTGGGATGAGGTTGGTGTCACATACTCTGTGCCAGTGCTGTGTGTTCACAGCAGGGTGAATCCTTTCTTTTTTTTGTTCCTGAGTCCCCTGCAGGACTTGCATTAGCTGCACCTCACAAAGACGTCTACTCAGGACTTTGGGGATATAAGAGCTAGACCAAAAAAAATTTGGTCTAGCATAACCAGTCCCATAACTTAGCAACAAGGGATGACAGCAGGCTGCAGGGATGAACTTTCCTCATCTGCTTGACTGTACCAGCAGTCACCTGGTTTTAATCCTGATGAAAACCTCTGGAAAGAGCTAAACATCAGAGTTCACTGAAGAGGCAGAAGATTCCTGATTTAAAGACAACATGGAAGAATGGGACAAAATGACGCCTGAGCCATGCATGCAAGTAGTTTCTCCAAGCAGGAGACATTTAGTAAATGTCAGTAAGTGTGTTCAATACTTCTTCCCTATGTCATTTCACATTATCACACATGACTTAATTCCTGAACTTATTTGTTTTGGTTTCTGTCTGTGTATGGATGACTTGGCTTGTTACCCAAACCTAGTAAACATTTTATGCCAATAGCAACTTTAGAAATATATTCACCATAAAAAATTGTGATGAGTTCAATACTTAATTTATCCGCTGTATAATTGCAACAGGTCAGGTTAAAAAGAGGAAAAAAATGCTAATTCAGTCTGGAAATGTGATCAAAACAATCTGATAGGTGTTTTTAAGTGTAGTCAACAATAAAATAAATACCACTTGATACAATTTGTCCAATAGCTTTTTTGTTTTGGTACATAAACGAATTAGAAAAATACAGAAAACTGTGTCACAAAATTGTCAAAGTGATTTACTGAACCATTAATTTAATTTACTGAATGTTAATTTATGCAGACCATAAATTAAACAGATCAGATGCCATTAGAAACATTACAGCTACTGTATGTTCTCTGAAATAAGAAAGTGGAAGCTCCAACAAACAAAGGGATCGGAGCCTGTCAGTGCTGCGAAAACCAAATGTGTGAGAACAGCAAACATGATGAGAACAACATGAGGCATGTGAGCCTTCTCGCCAACCAACAATTACAGTGTCACTCCTGCTCGATGCTTTAAATGGTGTTCATTCCTGTGAGACTGACAGGACACTTTGTGTTTCTGCAAAAGAGAGAGAGAGAGCGACATTGTGTGAACGTGTTAAAAGGAAGGGGAAAAAACAGGCCAAATGCAGCCAAAATGTTCCTGTGGGCTGGGAGATTGAATGTCGCCTGTTGTGATTCACTCCATCCTGCTTGATCTGTGAATAGTATCCAAGAGCTGCTATCTGGCGCATGACGCTCCGGGGTGATCATGTTCAAACCAAATTTGTCTACTGCTTCCTGTAAGACGACAGGAGAATCCCCAGGAAACTCCATCTTCCATTGGAGGAAGCTTCTATGGAGGAGGAAGTATTTCCATTTATGTACGCTCCCTGGGACTATGCCGTTCCGATCCATGACTATGGTACAGTGTGTGTCGTAATCCTGTAGTATGTGTAGAGTTGCCTCAAATAGAAACGGCAGACTTCAATGGAAGGAAAATGGCAATAAGGTAGATGCTGCATTTTAGCAACGTGTGACCCTCATCTGCTGGCAGTTTTATACTCATAATAAAATGTTTTATTCTCCATGAATTATCCATCCATCCATCCATTTTCTGAGCACCCTTCTCCCTAACGGGGTCGGGAGGTGCCGGTGCCCATCTCCAGCTGCGTTCCGGGCGAGAGGTGGGGTACACCCTGGACAGGTCGCCAGTCTGTTGCAGTCTCCATGAATTAGTTGAATTGAAACTTTTACTTAAGCTAAAGATCACACTTTTGTATAGTTTTCCCACGTGTGAATGAATGGAAGAGCAAGAGTAAAATTCCTATTTATCAGACAAATTCCAAATTATGGAGGTAAATAAGACCTCTTTATTTTCTACTAATATGGGGTCCCTCAGGGTTCTATGTTTAAGTCCAACTCTCTACAGTCGAACGTTGGATAGGCATGAGAAAAGACTAACACTGAGGTACAAAGAAACAAGAAACCTTCTTGCTGGAGATACAAACTCTTCTGTGGGTTAGAGCTTTTTGTGTCAAATGGTTCAAAAATAAAAATGAGGTGGTGAGACACCAACATGTTTTGTGTTATAACAAGTCAACACACATACAAAGTAGGATGAGATATGTAACTTCAGAACTTTTTCCATTTTCATTACAACATGTAATATATAACATTCAACAACAACAAAAAACCTAACAAACCTGATAAAAATAAATGAATAAAATAAAATAAAGCAACCGACTTGACAGTAAGGTAATTTTGATTCAGCTCCAGTGTTGAGTCTTCTTGGGTAGACTCAACACCTAGCATCAATGATGATCTGATAAACCTGTTTATAGCAGAAATAAGGTTCAGTGATCCCAGACTGATTTTCTTGAGATTTGATTCTTTAACTGAAGTCATTGTTTTACAGAGTGGCTCAAAGGATCAAAATATCACTGTGTAAAGGTAACAGTCAGGACAAATACACAAATAACCCATAGTACTGCATGCAAACCGTGGCAACGCAAAAAGTTGTTGACGAGAAGGGAAAATATTAACAGCAATGCCATTACTGAAGTTGGTCATTTCTCAAATACTGGTGAAAAATTCACAACAGAAATAAGTCACGGGCGACTGAAGAATTTGCACAATTTGTACTGGAAAACTGTCAGAATAATCACTCGTGTTTTCAAGCTGTCCTGGATGAGATCTGACAACAAGATTGTCACAGCTTTTTACATTTTTTTATGCTTTTCACTCTAACAAATGTGCTTATCAAATGTCACAAATTGGATGAGACATTTTGAGACGATTCATCAGGGCCTTAATGTTTTTACTCCTCAAAGTTGACCTTTTGTAGTTTTTTTTTGTCCATTGTGCTCAGTTTTCCTTAGCTGTAAACCCCCCACTTATATACCGCAAGCCGTTAATATTCAGTTAAGTGGATCTGTGAAAGTTATCCCATAAGATATCAAATGTTCCACCAAGTCCTGTGATTGATGAGATTTTAATGAGTTTTTATTAATTGTGCTGACATGCCCATCTGCTCTTTCTCCTCCCTGACAGTATTAATATCTTCTCATTTTGCCCTCCACCAGGAACAGACACATTCAGCCTCTGCTTCTGCCTTTTTTTTTCATTATTTATTTTTTGCTACTTTAGCTTGAACTAAAATTGACATTAGATCTTCAAAATCTTCGCTTTATCACGTCTGGAAAACATTTACATTAGATGGCATCAAACTTGTCAACATCTCAAAATTTCACACATCACAAAATGTCCACATTGGCATCGCAGGCCTTTTTTTTTTTTAACACATTGGGTTACATAACATCAGACTGGCTTTTTACTCCCACAGCTGCCTGTTGTCTAGTGGCCCGTGTGCATTGCTTTGCCTTCATTTTCATCCAGTAGTGCCATTTCTTTTCTTTTTTTTGCTGGCTCTCGTAGGCGGTGCATTTATATAAACCCCTGCTTGATTCATTGCTTTCTACACTCACCTGAAAACTTCAATAGCTAATTTGAGGTGCAGAAAATAGCATTTCATTGTTGGTCACTGGAACATTCTAACATTAGAATTCAATTGTGTTCTTTTTGTGTGTGTGCGTGTGTCATGAAGTCCGAGGGATAATATTAGATGCGGTCTGAAATAGAAAATTCAAGACTTTTCTAACATATTTTGTAAAATGAAAATTTCACAAGGATTATTGCTGTATTATGTCTTTCTTTCTTTTTTTACATCTAGTGCTGCGCACCTGGGTTAAAATGAATGCTATGTCCGGATGTTATGCTTCAGTGGTTTGTCTAGCAAATGCCAATGTTTTTTTTTTTTTTTAACTTTACTAAATCTATTTCATTTATCGATTTTAAGCCAGGAGCCTTTGACCAATATGCTTATGTGTCTAGACTTAGACTTAGACTTGTACTTTATTGATCCCTTGGGAAGACTCCCTCTAGCAATCATTTTAGTTATTATTCAGACAAGAAGAAAAAAGAAATTATTGCTTTAGCTCTTACACTTTTTTCTTGTGTTTTTCTGCTAGTCATAAATGGTGGGCAAAGTACTAGAAATACTGTCTAGACAAAGATTAAAAAAAAAGATTTTCTAAGAATTTTTTTTTTTTAAATCTGGAAGAAATGATCTGGTGTCATTTTGGATTGATGATGTATATTTTTGGTTTGTAGTTTGATTACTTATGCAATGTCTTGCAAAAGTATTTATTCTCCTCTTTAAGGAATATATTTTAATCAACTTCAGATATCCAGAGATCAGAGATTTTCCTAGTGATTCTTTGGAAAATTGCTTGAATTTGGACAGAAAGAATCTGCAAACAGCCATTAACAAGTCCTGCTATATGCCATATGTAACTTGTCACACTGATGAGGCATGTGATGAACTGCAAAGGAGATATTTAAAGTGGTTTTCAATAGTGACTTTCTTTTTGATATTTTTCCTCATGAGGCAAGTTTTCCCACATGGACAGATCCTCCCGCCAGATTGATCCAGTCGATCTCTCCAGCTCTCCCACAGTTACCAGGAGCCTCTTAATGGTTTCTCTGATTAACGTTCTCCTCCTCATAGGTTCCGAATATATCTTGGCTGGCTTGTATATGGGTCATCCATGATGGATTGTTTAACGTTTGAAAGTTTTAACAACCTAACCTGCTTCATGCTTATCCCTGACATGTCTCCTGCATTTCTCTGTCTTTATGTTGCTGTTTCTTTCTGAATATCTTCAGCTGAAATGCTGCAACTATACAAAAACTCAATTAGCTAATGTAATTACTTCTCACTGCAGTTGGTTGCACTTGGTTTTTAAAGAGATAACTAAGCAAATAGCCTTGCATATAAATGAACATTACTCGTTTTCACATGTTATCAAAAAAATATTGAAAATCATACCTGCATACTTTAAAACTATGCTGTACTTGACTGTGGTTGTGATGATGTGACAAAAAGTGAAAAAGGTGCAAGTATGCATTATTTTTGCAAAACATCTTATAAAAGGCAATCAAGTACTGTGATGAACTTGCTTGCTCGACAAATATATTTGTAAATATTAATAAGAATCTCAGCGGAGGGATTCCATCGTCGAGAGTTGGATGTGCAGACATAGTTTCTCTTCTCTTTTTTTTCTCGCTTTCTCTCTCTCTCCAGTCTGCTTTCTATTCAAGGAAAGAGGACTCAGTGTACCCAGTCGTGACAGTCTGCTCCGGTCTCTCTTCTAGAACTCCGGAAACAAGCCTCTAGATGGAAGAGGAGGCTGCAACATCCGCGTGATCATCGCTCGAGCACCAATGGCCTTCCACCGGGTGCGCTGAGCACACCGGCATCCCGTGAGGAAATGGGCGGTCCCGGGAAAGCTCGACCGGGATGCGTGGGCGGCGGAGGGAACGGTGTAAAAGGAAAAAAAAAAAGGAGCTGCGGCGGCGGTATATAAGAGAGCCGAGCAGAGATCTCAGACAAGACAGAGCTTAGAGAGCCCGGAGCAAAAGCGGAGCGATTTCAGCACCACACATCCTGTGGACAGCGACTCGTAGCAGCTCTTAAAACAAACGGACAACAAAAAACTAATCATGGTTCTCATCTGGACCCAGTTCGGAGTGAAGCAAAAGAATGGAAATGTCAAGTGCAAAGTGCGAGTGATGCACAGGGGTGACAGCTCCGGATCATCATCGTCAGCTGTAAGTACAGTTTGTTTGTTTTTTGCTGATTTTTGTTTTTCTTCTATGTATTTTAAAGTTACATGGCATTCCTTGCCCGCGTTTGTACTCCGCCGGCATCTGTAGGAGATGCTGTCATTTCATTCATCCACGTGCCAGAAACGCGGATTCCCTATCAGCCAATCGCTGCGGAGATTCTCAGTTGTTGGGGGGGAAAGTCTTTTCACGATCCCTTCACATGGTTTACCCCCCTCTCTCTCACGTTGGGTTGGGATCAGCCTATAAAATTTATGCATCTGCTCAGCAGCACAGATAAGGGTGTTTCCCCTTAGAGAATTAAAACTGAAGGTGATTTCTTGCTTTGTAGAAAGAAATCAATCATTTGTATCTTTGTAGCTGCAGTTTTCATCAGCGATTCTGTTTGGAATTGCACTTTGTGGATAGATATATAATCAACAACTGGTGTTAAATGAAATGTTACAACATATGTGTCAGCATGTAGAAAGTATGACAAAATGATCTAAAAATCTAAATTGTTGTGTTCCTTCAGGAGAGCACCAAGTCTGAGCAGGACACGCCCTGCCTCTCCATCAAACCCACAGGCAAGGACTTCTACAAGGTCCTGGGCATCTTGCCTGAGTCCAATGAAGATGAGATCAAGAAGGCCTACAGGAAGATGGCCCTCAAGTTCCACCCAGACAAGAACAGTGACCCCGATGCGGAGGAGAAGTTCAAAGAGATTGCAGAAGCTTATGAGATCCTGACCGACCCCCAGAAGAGAAGCATTTACGACCAGTTTGGAGAAGAAGGTGAGCAGATGTGACTTCATGTATATACTTTGAATTGTTCAGTCTCGGGCACAACATTTGCATAGCGATGACTGAAATCCGTCAGGAAATATGTTTTTTGTTTTTTTTTAACAATTTCTCTATTGTCTTTTTTAGGTCTTAAAAATGGAATTTCAACAGGCCAAGGCAACATTTTCCGCCAAAATTTCCAAAACGACCCCCACGCCACCTTCTCCTCTTTCTTTCACAACTCTGACCACTTCGACATCTTCGGCAGTGACCCCGATGCCGACGATGATCTCTTCAACCCCTTCCGGCGATCCACCTTCACTCACCTGGGTGGCTTCGCCGGTTACGAGGCCGGCCTGCGGAAGGGCGGGCGGCGCCTGTCTGGCGAGACCGTGGTGCACGACCTGCCGGTGACCTTGGACGAGGTGATGCATGGCTGCACAAAGCAAATAAAGATCACACGCAGCCGCCTCAACTCTGACGGCCGAAGCCTGCGAACCGAGGAGAAGGTGCTGAACGTTGTGGTGAAGAAAGGCTGGAAGGCCGGGACCACGATCACCTTCCCCAGGGAGGGGGATGAGACCCCCAACAGCCCTCCTGCAGACATTACCTTCATTCTCAGGGATCAAGACCACCCAGAGTACAAGAGAGATGGGTCCAACATCATCTACACAGCCCAGATCACTCTTAAAGAGGTGAGTTTCTTGTTAGTTAGTTATGAACCACATTCTAAAACACTCATCAACTCTTTGTTCTAGAAATTCACAAGACAAACTATACATATTCTTAATTCAGTCTTTTAACAGAAAGCTTTGTTCCACTGATAGACCCTCACAAACCAAATGGCAGCAGTCTGCCAACACCTCCATTACCTCAGCAGCCCCTGCAGAGGGAGAGAGAGAAAAAAAAAAGAAGCTAAATTTAGCCTTGCCTGCTGACTGCACCCACGAATCGCATTTCAGCCTCCCTCTTAGCCACTAGACTCACTGCAGCCCCAACAGGCCAGGCAGAGAAAGAGAGAAAGACACAGTTCCACTGGCTCGCTCCGTCTCAGCCTCTCAGTTCCTCCAGCCCACGCACAGATTAGCAGAGCAGCAGTCACAGAGACTGACATTTCAAATAGCTCCTCCGTCCTCATTTGGCTCCCTATCAGTCACAGAAACACTTGACTCCCACACACAGGAGCGAAATAGAACGCTGGTTATAACATCTGTACCACTGTTGCATAATTCAGAAAATCTTTTCACAAGAATGCGTACATAACATTTAGCAGTTACACAACTGTTCATGTTCCACTTTCCTTCAATGATTTTGAAGCTGATATTGACAACAGGCTCCCAGGACTAACTTTACCTCCCTCTTGATTTGTCTCCAGGCTCTCTGTGGATGCACAGTCAATGTCCCAACGCTGGACAACCGCATGATGCCTTTACCGTGCAGCGACATCATCAAGCCAGGTGAAGTCCGGCGGCTGAGGGGCGAGGGTCTCCCGCTGCCCAAGAGCCCGTCCCAGCGGGGCGACTTGGTGGTGGAGTTCCAGGTGCTCTTCCCCGACAGGATCCCGCCACAGTCGCGCGAGATCATCAAGCACAGCCTGGGACAGTGCTAGCCTGCTTCACTTCTACTTGACACAGCATCATCATGTGTCTTTCTCAATTCTGAACCACATCCTTGCCTATGGTGCTAATGTCACAACCAATCACAGCCTCTTATTGTGCTTGGAAAAGGCAAGCAGACCTGAGTTGGAAGTCAAACTGGACTTTAGAGAGGAGACTTTCTGAACTAGTACAATGCACAACTTCTGGTGCCATGTGAGTGGTAGCTGCTGGACTGATGAAAGGTTTCTTAGCTGTCTGAGGCAAGCATTCACTCAACAGCCTTCTCTTAGACAAAAAGGTGTACATGTACTGTTATACTTGCAAGCCTATGGCAGGATATCAGTGTGCTATTTAAGTCTGTACAGACTTGCTTAAACCTGAGTGGTAGAAACAAGTGAAGAAAACAAAAACACCACCTTACTTCTTTTCTTCTTATTATTATTATTCTTCTTATGGTTATATGGTGTTCATATGACTGATCTTTTGCATTGTTTTTTTACAATAGCAAAAACTACTTGTGTGCAAAGGTCTACTTTGTGTGCAAAATGAAAAAATGTTGTCTCTAAAAGAGATTCACTTGTCAAATGTTCTATTGAATGACTAGAAAAGTTTGTATATGATCTGCAATAAGAACTGCTGATGTGTTCCTACTTTATTCTACGGCATGAAAATGAAAATAAAATAATTTTAAAAAACACAAACGTGACTGTGGTTTTCTATTGTTGCATACGTACAAGAACCTCAATTTATAGACCTAATTAGGTCATTAGGTCTACAAACAAATGAATAAGGAAATCTCCTTTTTATACTTGAAAAACACATTTGGTGGTCAATGTTATCAATGATTATAGATTTACAATACAAATATCCAGAATCAGTTTCATTGCATTGGCATAAAAAGTGGAAATACTATGTAGAAGTTACTCAAATAAAAGTGTAGAGTGTTCTTTTTCTAGAGCTCCCACATGTCTGGACAAATATTTCATCAATAAATTTTCATGTTTATTATAGATCTTTTAACAGAAATTACCTACAAATGCAGTACATGTGATTTCTTGGTTTTCTATTGTTAATTTGCAAAGTGCTCACATTGTCTTTCCACCTTTTCATAACGGATTATTTGTGTGTGAAATTTTGAGGAAATAGGATAATTCAATACAATTTGGAATAAAGCTGAAACACAGCAAAATGTGGAAAAAGTGAATCGCCGCATACTTGCTGAATGCAAAGTACATGAACAAACTGTAATCTGTCAGACAAGTAAGAACACACTGTCCCCACAATTAAGTGCGTTGGTGGAGCTATGCATACTGTGGGGATGCTATTTTATGCACAGACAAGAAGTCCTATCAGGGAAAAAGAAAAGGAAGATGGATGAAGCTAAACATTTGAAAGCCATTAGGGAAAAAAAACATGTCGGAAGTTGCAAAAAAACTTGAGACTGGGTTGAAGGATCACCTTCCAATAGGATACTAACACTGAAAATACAGCCAGAGCTATAGCTTAATGGTTAATACCTGCTGTGCCTACAGTCATTCCTGAAGCAAAAGCATTGATTTGACTCCACTTATCTGAGTCAAAATGATTCCTGGCCTCTGCTGAGGTTATTTTGACTTAGATATATTGCAGCAAGTACAAAGCTAAAACGCAGGGCATGCATAGTTAAGCTCAACGTCCAGCTTGATTGATGACATGGGATCATTTTGTCATTTAGTTATTTATTCAGCCATCACAATCTTTCTCTTGAGTCACAGACAATTTCTAAATTAAAAACCTAATTATTTTAGATTTATGCTTGTAAAGCCCTTTGACAACAAGGTAGCATTTTTCTTCCATTGCACGAGTATCTATTTCTTAATCTGTTTATTGCATAAGTAAACAATTTATGTGTCTGCTTATTGCACAAATTCCAATTAAAGTGCATCAAGTTTTTAGTTCCAATTCATGAACATGTAAAAAGTCCAAGAGGCACAATTACTTTTCAAGTCACTGTGGACCTGGTACTGTTCTCTGTTGTAGAAAGTCTTGTCTGGGTTTTGTAACTTTGGCAAATTTCCACATTTGATGTCCTTTTATAGTTTCCCAGATGTTGTCTTCTGTACAACTCTACGAAACATCTCATCATTAGCTACAAATACTAAATACTAACTAATTTAACCAAAGCACTGTAGACAAAAAGGCAGAATTTTTACCCTTTCATTCTCAAATCTGTTGAAATTCAGGAGAAATCTACTGCCATCTAGCGGCGGGTGATTCATACAACAGCAAGAATCTTGCAAAAAAAAAAAAAAAAAAAAGAGAGAAAGAAACACACCTGTCGAGCTGCTGTTTGTTACCGGCTTAATCAATGGCCGCGTCCTCACTTTGGCGATATTTATATCAGTGACACTTTTATCCACTTTTTTATGGAGAAGAATGTGACGACAGGTGGAACTTGCGTGACTTTCTGATATCAAACTTAAAGTAATTCCCGCTGATTGGAATATGAAAGCACCTGTGTGAACAGAGCAGGGCGTAAGGGGTTTACGGAGATTTGAGTTCAGAGAAATTCACCCGCAATGCGCCTGGGAATGAAATGTCGCAAACACGTCAGACCACCCCACACAATCTGACCGAAGGCCACCCTGTGACCAACCTGACCTTGGTTGTCCTGCTGCTCATCCCCTTTGTGGTCATTCTCCTTCTGCTGAACTGTCTCTTCCTGGGCTACAAGGTCCTGGTCCTGTCCAAGAAGTCCAGCAGACCGAGGCGGGAGGACACCGAGGAGATGCTCCTGCGACCCACCCTGCCGAGACTCAGAGTATCCGACGTGGCCTTCTCCCCCCTGCGGGACGGGAGGACAGCCTGCATGTCCCTGTCGGAGCCCGTCCTGTCCCACCCCGTCACTTCTTCAAGGGCGTCGTCCAGACACGGAGCCGGGTTGACTCACAAGTTCCGGCTGCTGAGGCCCGACGGCGCGACCGGCTGCGGGTCTCCGAGGGCGCCGAGCACCATCCGGGCCGCGTCCTCCTCGCAGGGCTTCAGTCCGAGGCTCCACGTGCCTTCAGGCTCGCGGACTTGCAGTAACAGTAAGCCAGGCTGGTGTCAGAGTGCTCCGGTTTTACTGCAGTCCAGCGATTCAGAGGATAACTCCAGAGTACACGCGGTTCCACCAAACTCTCCCATGGTGAGCGATTTCTGTGTATGAGAGGATGGCAGTTGCGTAAATGTTCGTTTAGATACGTTGAGTAAGTGTTAAGGACTTTGTATGTTTCTCATCAAGGTGTTTACAGTGCTTCAGGTATTGTTGCAAACAGAGATTACTTTCATGCAACTTATTTCAACCCTAATTAATTCATAATTCATTTAGATTTTGGAGCAGGGCCTGTTTATCATTTGATATTGTTGGTTTGTTTTCCATTAGCAGATGATCCTTTTTTATTCACTCCTCACACATGAACTTTAATGAGATCCCACTCTTATTTGTCCATCATCTGTGTGTGGGATAATTTCCATCAAAAATTGGGAAGGACGTCCGCCATCTTTATTATTCCACCCAGTTGGACCAATACTATTAGCAGGGAAACAGAGCTTCAGCATGATGCTACCACTACCATGCTTTATGGGTTATTCAATGTTGTTAAGCCCGAGGTCCTCGCATCGACTTCTACCTATTTTGGAGCTCTTACATTTATTTTTGGTTACCACCCTTTGTTCCGCAAATATCAAATTGGCTTCCCTGTCAACCAGAGGATTGGCGTTGCTGGATATTTCTGTTTCTGACAAGCTGGAGTCTTTGTGGTTCTTGAACATGCTGACTGCTATTTTCAAACCCAATCTGAAGGTGACTATGTCAGAAACTGGAAAAAAAAAATCTATGAAAATTAAACATTAGACTTCTATTTCTCAACCCTATTGAAAAATTATGAATTGTCCTTACAGAGCTTGATCTGTGCAAGTAGAATAAATCAATCTATATTTAACCCCTAACTAGACAAATGGTCAAATATCCATTCAAATATTTTGATTATTGCAACAGCATATAGTTTATTTGTAACTTGTTCAGTAAACAGTGTGTATATATATTTTAATCATCTTGTGATGAGTATACGTATGTCAGTTGATACAGTCAGTCTAAATGATGTCACTGTGGACTCAAGTTTCTTTAAGCATCAGTAGGGGTCAGCACAAGATACTGGATCTTTACCAACTGAGGACAAATCAAAGGAACTGCAACAAGAAGTGGATTTCTACAGTCTACAGCTGGGGGTTAGGCCATCTGTCAGCTTATCCATTTATTTTTCCTTGACTCACAGGAGAAAGTGGCGCATGTGGATCACAGTCGTCGGAGCAGTACTTACGAGAAGCTAACAGAAGTGAATGCAGTCGCTCCTGTCTATCCGTACAACAAGCTGTTCATGGAGTGTGAGCACATGAACCCAACCTCAGAAGCATCCAGTCTGAACGCAACTGATGTGGGTCCTGGACTGGACAGTGACTTCGGAGCAAGTGCAGGTACAGAAGTCTCCTCCACCCTGATTGTATTAATTGTCAGATTGTTCATTTGATATTCATTTTCTGACTTCTATAACTTGGATTATGTGGACGAGGCAAATGACATTTTGCTACTAGCGGTCATTTGAGTCATTTATAACAAAGCAGAGGTGTGGGCATCGTGTCTTCCAGGTGTCTCCCTGCACATTTTGTCTGCAGATAGCGACGGCCTGTCCAACGGACTGTTGTCTTCAGCGCTGGAGTGGGATTATTACGACCCCTGTTATGTCAGACAGAATAATATACCCAAACATAATCACCACAGGCCTTTGATCCACACTAAACAGTACTGGGTGTAGTTCACAATTTTCTCAATGTAGATTTTAAATGTTTGTTCCAAATAGCATACCAGTGTGCGTTTTTTTTTTTAAATTGTTTTTGTCTTAAAAGTAATCACTTAATTTATGCACTGAGTAAATTTTGTTGTAGAATGCACTATCCCACTGTTCATAATGTTTCATTAACACTGAACCGTCACTTCAGTTACTGTTAAATGTTTAATCGGCGTCCTTCACTCAACATTCATAGAGGTTGTCACGATTTTCCTTTTCACTATTTATGGTTGATTTGGATTTAGGTTTCACTATTTCCTCACCTTCATCACGTTTGTTTCACTGCGTAAGTGGTTGTTATTCACACAATTAATGAAGGCTTAAGAATTTAATAAAGAGTTATATTTTAATAAATTAAAATAAGTCTTACATTTTATTAAAAACAGAATCCATGTTGCTTGAACTCTAGCGTAAGGTCTCCACAGTCTAACGGTTCAGGGAGCTGTTGATCCATTGCGTTTTCTTCAGCCCACAGTAAATGTTGACGTTGTGGAAACCTGTTTTTTCCTTTTGAAAATTGTACTATCTAAAATTTATAAAATTCCAATCAAAAATGTGGACTTTCAAAAAGTGGAAATGTTTAACAGATACATATATTTACAAGGAAATTAATACAATTTGGTTATTGCTGCAATTGGCCAGCAGAGGGACCTACAGTTACATTCGAATCTCTCACATTGAGCCTTTTTCATATGAACGTAAAAGTATTTAAACTAGATTTTGTACTACTTAAAGACTAAAGCTCATTGTTGATAAAATTTGGGTTTTCTTACCTACAGTGGCACATATATATGATTGTATACAGCAGAATAATAAGAAAACACTATTGAGAAAAAGACAGCAATGTCACTTAGTTGGAACACTTTATTTAGTTTTAGGAGATATCTGTACATAAAATCTCTTGAATTTTTCTTAAATTCATTGAGAGCATAATTCATGCTCTGCTTTGGAAACAAAAACAAGACCAAATGCGTGTCATTTCACTCGAAGCTAGAGAGAAAATTCAAAACAATCTGCTTGAGTTTAGCATCAGAAGCTTCAGATATTTTCCCATCAGCCCTGCAAAGAAGAGCAAAACTGTTACAACGCATTCTTACAATGGGAAAAAATAGATGCACTATATTTTTCCTACTTGATAGCTGCTAGCAAGTCTTGCTGCTGACTCAAGATGTGCTGAAGGAAAGCTTTCTCAAACTTGGTGATCTTGCTTGGTTCCATCTTGTCAAGGTGTCCTCTCACTCCAGCATAAATGACTGCTACCTGTTCTTCAATGGCCATTGGAGCTGAAATATAAAAAAACAGGCAATTAGAGTTGAAAATAAATGTCATCCACATGAAAACCTGGAACAAGCAGCTGACACTCACAGTACTGTCCCTGTTTAAGGAGTTCAGTCAGGCGAACGCCACGGTTCAGCAGCTGTTGCGTGGCAGCGTCCAGATCAGAACCGAACTGAGCAAAGGCGGCCACCTCTCGATACTGGGCCAGCTCCAGCTTCATCGTACCTGCCACCTAATGACAGGCAGCACAGGCTGTTTAAAGTGAAGCATTTGACAAGAGAGAATAGCTCGGCAAAGACTAACCTGCTTCATGGCCCTGGTCTGGGCAGCGGATCCGACGCGCGACACTGACAGACCGACGTTAATGGCCGGACGAATACCTTTGTAGAACAGCTCGGTCTCCAGGAAGATCTGTGTGAGGAAACTGCACTTAAGGAAAAGCTAGAGACTGAGCATCTCAGCGTCCAGCATGACAAATCAGCCGCTTGCCTGTCCATCTGTGATGGAGATGACATTTGTTGGAATGTAGGCAGACACATCTCCAGCCTGTGTCTCAATGACAGGAAGAGCAGTGAGGGAACCGCCACCAAAGTTATCGTTCATCTTGGCAGCTCTCTCCAGCAGACGGGAATGCAAGTAGAAGACGTCTCCAGGGTAGGCCTCGCGACCTGGGGGACGGCGGAGCAACAGGGACATCTGACGATAGGCGACAGCCTGCAGAGACAATCAACAAGGTTTAATCAATGTCCAATCCAGGACCCGGACGCCATCTTTCCTAAAAACCCTCTGAGGCAGGAGTTGAAGTTTCACCTGCTTTGAGAGATCATCATAGATGATGAGGGCATGCTTCCCGTTATCTCTGAAATACTCCCCCATGGAGCAGCCAGAGTAGGGAGCCAGGTACTGCAGAGGCGCAGCATCAGAAGCAGTGGCCGATACCACTATGGTGTACTTCATAGCATCGGCGTCTGTCAGCCTCTTCACCAGCTGAGCCACAGTGGATCTCTTCTGGCCAATAGCAACATAGATGCAATACAGCTTTTTCTTTTCGTCAGTTCCTTCGTTGAAGCGTTTCTGGTTGATGATGGTGTCGATGGCGATGGCAGTTTTGCTGCAAAACAAACGTGGAAACCTTAGCTGACATCCACAATGATATATATATATATGATGAATATCTATATCCCTTGATATTTTTTTAATCGCAATACCACCAGACTGCTGAGGGGATAGGGGCGCCTTCTAAAAAGAAGCTCTAGTGCCTGTGGGTGATTGCTAATGGGGAAAGATTCTACTGTTCTTGTCTTTGTCTTGAACTTTTTTTATTATCCTAGCATATGTTTTTATAACTTAATCTTTAATCTTTAAATTGAAATTAATCTTTCTCATTAATTTCAACTAACTTCCATGTCCTTGTTTAGGAAAAACAGCCACATGTTTTATTTGATAGCTGCTAAAATCAAGTAAAACATGAATATGATTATATGTCATTTTGGATGTGTGGGGTGATGCTTAGTGTTCCCACAGTGACAAACTGGAAGACAAACATCTCCTGTGTCCCTTAAATTAATTCATCACTGCAGAAGAAATTACTATATAATAATTAAACTTACAGAAGTTATGTGGAACACAAAATCCAACTTTAATTGCTGCAAGGGCATCTAAAGCCACTGAAAATAACATCTCAGCATGCTGTGTGCTACAATATTCTCTTTGAACAGCATCCATTACCCCGTCTGCCTGTCTCCAATGATGAGCTCACGTTGTCCACGGCCAATGGGGACCAAGCTGTCCACGGCTTTGATGCCGGTCTGCATAGGCTCCCTCACAGAGATACGGGGAATGATACCAGGGGCTTTCAGACCCACACGTCGGCGCACCTTGGAGCCAAGAGGGCCCTTTTGGAGAGGACAGAGAAACAAAGTCATTATGTTTCTTCTAGCACCTGAGAACTTGTGGAATTAATATTGGAACAACCCCCGAAAGACAACACAACAACCCAATAGATTAAAATGAGTACCTTTCCATCAATAGCATTTCCCAGAGCATCAACAACTCTGCCCAGGAGTTCTTCACCAACAGGCACATCGACGATAGCGCCAGTTCTTTTGACGATGTCGCCCTCTTTGATCAGCTTGTCATTACCAAACACCACAACACCAACATTGTCAGGCTCCAAGTTCAGGGACATGCCCTGGAAAAGACAATGCTTGATTTCAGAAGCAGCCATCAAATGCACACACAACAAAATAATAGATGTTAAGTGCAAAGATTCAGCACTTAGAATAAGACACCAACTTTGTTTATCAAGTGAAAACAATACAGTTTCTCCAGGTTGGGAACTGAATCTAAGGTTTACAACATCACCTTGAGACCAGAGGAGAACTCCACCATCTCCTCTGCCTGCACGTTCCTAAGGCCGTACACTCTGGCAATACCGTCACCAATGGACAGGACACGGCCAGTCTCCTCTAAATCAGCACTGGTGTCAGCTCCCATGATCTTCTCCTCCAAAATGGATGACACTTCAGCTGTGCCTTTACAGCGTAAATGAAAAAAAAAAAAATCTTGTTACGAATAAAACCAAAAATTCATAAAGACCTGCAGGAGATTCCTGACACACTGACCTGTTTTTTGGAGCCAATGCTGGGCGGTGTGCAGATTCTTGGCTCCGACGCATGCTGCCGCAACATTCTTAGATACCTTTAACACAGAAAGAAATTATGACTTTGATTTATGTAGTCAGAGGGAATATACCAATTAAATGTTTCAAGGTGCACCAAGGTTACATTTCAAGACTCTTTAAACTTTAAATAATTTTTTCCCTACTTTAAGTAATTTTATTGGGATGCCAGAGAAACTGCAGTAAGTGACTGTATATGTGTGACGCAGCTCTCTCCCTCCCGGAGATGTTGCTGCACACTGCCATTCAGCTGATTTTATGAATAGCTTTTGTTGCATAAAAATCCATACATATTCAGGGTTTATACTTTCCATAAATCTGGAAAGATTTATGAATAAGTAAAAAATAAACAATGCAAACAGTCCTGCTGTTGAACCTAACGTAGCTCAGACGTCTGAAAGTAAACATTTCTCATGTACAGAAATGTAGATGAGAAATGCAGCATTTAAGAAAGGTTTGTGAAACTTTGAGTTCATATCATAAACATCTCTTTAAGGCCATTGCCTGGCAGCTAGTGATTAATAACAATATAACTGCTGTTTTTATGCTGTTTTAGTCATGTTGCCGTCTTGGGCCGTCCAATTTGATGCCTGAATCATAATATGCCTTGTCACAGGATTGATTAAAAAAAAAAAAAAGTCAAAAGTTATGATCACATTTTTAAAAATTCCTCTTCTGTACTAGCAACTAAAACACTTTACTTCATGCCAAAGCTGAAAGGACAAAGAGGATTTTTGTTTCAAGTATTTTTACTATATTTGTAAGAAGTCAGTATTTAATGCAAGCTCAAATCTTGGCTGATATGACTAGATCATTATAAAGTGATCTAGTCATATCAGAAAAGGCAAAACAATTTTTTAAAAAGCAGCATTATATTAACATAATTAAAAAATTCAGACTCACTTTCACACGAGCCTAAAACATAACAGAGTAGACAAAAGCAGGGAACAAATTTCACTCCAAAATTAATAGTCACCTAAGAACACTTGTTGGGTTACAAAATGCTTGCGTTTCAAACATCTCAAAGTGAATAATTTGGCAGCAGAACCTGTGTAGAAATATCTACAGTTTAATGAAAAAGGATGACAATCTACAGTATTTTGCTGCTTGTGTTCACTATTGTGCAACTAACAAAGAAGCGAGCCTAACCTTTTTTAACCGATGGGTTGAATTATTAAGCCTTCACAACAGAATCGTTTTTGAGGTCCAGATAAACAACCGATTATTTATACATTCTCAGTAATATATTGCAATATCCCAGATGTCTGTCAGCTGCATAATGTCAACAGAGGGGACTGGGAACGTGAAGGGCTCTGTGTCCTCCAGTGCAAAGACGACGGAACAGCAGCAGGTTTCAATGTGTGAAAAATCCCTTTTTTTCATGCCGAGATACAAGACGAGCAAAACATAAATAGGTTAGAAGTGCTTACAAATCCAGCTCTTCGTGGCAGGTTGCGGGCAAGAGCCGCTGCGAGGCGAACTGACAGCATGTTGGAGACCTGAAGACACGTCCTGCTCCCGGGGCCGAGAGAGAAGGGCGGCGGACAGGGCGGCGCTGTGAATGGAGGTCACAGCAACCCGGAAGTACTTCAAAATAAACGAAAACATTAATTGTTCATTTTTTTTTCTTTCTTACATTTCTACTGGATATAGGTAATGGAACTTACCTAATCTTATATGCATAGAAGTCCGTTTATATATATATATATATATATATATATATATATATATATATATATATTGTATCCGTGATGACGGATATATATATATATATATATATATATATATATATATATATATATATATATATATATATATATATATATATATATATATATATATATTGTATCCGTGATGACGGATATATATATATATATATATATATATATAATGTATCCGTGATGACGGAACAATAGCCTAATAATTTGATACAACAAAATATCTCAGAAACTGTGCAGACCATATATAACAAAAATGTCCATTTCCAATAGCATAACACCATTTTTGTATCATCCTTTACCAAACAAAATGAGTTCATTGAATAAATTTATGCAGAGATTTTTAATGCATACATGCAGCAAAAACAATAAGAGTAATGAGATACTTTGTCAGTTTTTGTTTTCATGACAGACTTGTGCCAGTGTCCGTTTTCAAATTGAAACAAAATCAAACTCAAAATAACATATATCAGCATCCATAGGTATCCAGCATTAACATAAAGCTATATGTCCAGGGTAGGCAGAAGAACACTGCTTTTTCAGCATTTGCAAATAAAATTATTGAACTGTTTTTAAACACGTTCCCCAAAGCAAGTTAAGATGAATTCTTCAGACAAATTTGCAAGTTGAGCTATTTGCTGTTATTCACCAAGCTCTGGCAATTTACCTAATTTATTAGTTCTTAAATCCAGCCTTACCTGGACCTGTCATTGCAAGGTCCTTGTCTATTTGAAAAAAATAAATAAAAATACAAATCTTATAGAATATCAGTGCTGTTGACTTTATGAAATTGTAACATCAATAAAATGCAGCAGTGTAAAATAGATCTGGTTCATGTGCTAGAACCATTCTCCTGTTGTGTACCGATGGTTCACAGTTCTATGGAAGTGGATATTTCTTGGGCATTGTGCATTTTTTGAAAGAGTAATTTTGAAATGTTCTCAGAACGTATCTCTTAACCAACAAATCAACTGATCCAAGGAGCCAACTTGTAACAATCAAGTTGCTCATGGCCGGTAATTTCTTTCTTTCTTAATGTTTCATTTTGTCATCACATTTTAAGTTGTGTGTATTTTTAAATTGAGCATTTGTTTCACTTTATAAGCTATGTGAGACACCATCCACAATGGGGAGCTTTTCTTCTACATCTTCAGTTGATTTACGCTTTGAACCCCGTCATCTACTTCCCCAGCGATTCGAAATCATTCGATTTCTCGGAGAAGGCGGCTCTGCAGTCGTGCTCAACTGCTATGACACCTCCACAAAACAAAATGTTGCCGTGAAGTTTGCCAAAGGGAAATACAAATTGAAGCATGAGGTAGGACGCTAGCCATATGTGATACCGTGAAAAGCTGATAAAACCAGAATCAAGTGACCAAATGTGATTATTTTATGTTATTTGCAGGCAGAGATGATGAGATATCTCATGAAGCACAAATTGGATGAGAAGAACATTATAAAGTTTCACGACAGCTTGAGCTCAACCTCTTGTTTGGTGTTTGAAATGTGTGACATCAATCTAAAGGACTACATTAAACAAAGATTCCCATTGAAATTACAAGAGATTAGAACAGTTATCCAACAGGTATGGCAATAATTAAAAAATAAAAAATGAAATCTGGAAATGTTATGATTTAATGTAGAACACAATTCCATTTGAATCTCACTTTCTATGTTGTATTATGATCATGTTTTCAGTTGGCCACAGCTTTAGAGGGACTGAAGAAAGTTAAAATCATCCACAGTGACCTCAAAACAAACAACATCATGGTGGTGGATGAAAGGAAAAAACCGCTGCAGGTCAAGCTGATTGACTTTGGCTTGGCTCTCCATGCCAGACATTCGAATCAAACCATCAATCAATGCCTTTTTTACAAGTAAGAATTGTAAAAAGAAATGTTTAAGTTGCTTCAAGGCTGCCAATCAAGAAATGCAGGCTTAACACTGATGCAACATTATAAATGTGTCACAGACACTCCTGAATAATGACAACTTTTCTTGTTTTAGAGCTCCTGAACTCATTCTTGGGCTCCCATACTCTGCAGCTTTGGACATCTGGTCACTGGGGTGTGTAGTGGGAAAGATGCTTTTAAACTATGTACTTTTCCCGGGGAATACTGAATATGAAAATGTGAGTAATTTACTGTATTCATACAGTTCTATACTTTGAAACCACTATTGCTGCTTTTTTTATGTATAAGAAATTAAATTAGATTATGTTACATTTGTTTTGTTTAAATATTGGCATTAATACCACGATGCTGTTAAACCAAATTCAAGTTTATCATAATTCAAAAATCTCATACAGCCTCATTCTTAAGTTTGTTACAACTCCAGTACCCAGTTTGAAATGACAGATGTTCTCTCAGCCTAATAAGTAAACCCAAAAATGTATATTTGGTTCTCTTGTTTTAGCTGTGCTTCTTCACTGATGTTCTGGGACCAGCACCAGACTATCTTGTTGATGCCAGCAAAAAAGCAGAAAAGTTTTTTAAAAAGTCAGACTCTGACAAGTGGATACTGAAGGTACAATGAACAATGTCCTCCAAGTATTAAGAATCATGATTTTCAATATAAGGAAAATTAGTGTCTTTTCTTATTTCTGAGAAATTTGGTTGAAAGTACACAAACATAGTACAAAAGAAAGACTGCCTAAATCCCTTACATGAAAGCAGTTAAATATTTTTGAATGTTTCAATGGATGGTCAGTAATATTTTGACATTCTTATCTTTGTACTCTGAGTTGTATTTTAAAAGGACTGTAAAAATCCTTTTACAGTCACCTATGGAATACTGGGGACATGAATACCATAAATACAAAAGGTCCTTGAACTTTCGCTTTTTGCATCAAGCTAAAATGGTAAGCCATTAGTATAATACACCATCAACTAGCACTGAGGTTTGTCTTCATGACCTCTCAGATGATATTGTGCTGTTTTGTAAATAAGAGTCACCTGAAGTATGAAAAACTGGCTGCAACAGATGAGAGGAGGGAATGCATAGCGCTGATGAAGGCAATGCTTCACTGGGATGCAAAGAAAAGGATTACTCCCAAAGGAATCCTGAGCCATTCCTTTATCGTCCAGAAAAGCAGCAGTCCTCGCAACTCTTTCCCTGAATATAACGTTCCAATTGAGCAGGAACCTTGCACCAGCAAGGTCACAGCTCATTCAAATTCGGAAGACTGGCGAAAGCATTCGTTTTTTGCAGGTCAAAATATGAGGGATGTCAAAGGAAAGAGAGGAACATATGACATGTAAGTACCACTGTAGAATTGTTAATATTATATACACTCATTGCAACTCAATGTTGTAGGCATCCAGACACAATGAAGATGACTTTCTGAGTTCATTTAAGTGGAGAATAATCAAGATTTAGCTGACTTTGACTGCGGCATGGTTGTTGCTGACAGACAGTGTGGTCTAAGGATTCCAGAAACTGGTAATTGATTTTCACTCAAAAATAGCTCATAGTTTGGATATAAAAAAAAAAATAAAAAATCTAGTGAGTGGCGGTTGTGGGGACAAAAGTGTCTTGCCGTTGTCAGAGATCAATGGAAACTCGGCAGACAAGTTTGAGAAGATAGAAGGATAAAAGCCCCTTGGTCATTGTGCTATTTATACTGATGTATGTGGAATAATATATCGACATGAGTCACACATCAAATCTTGAAGCCAATGGGCTACAGCTGCAGTAGATCACACCGGCTGCTCCTCGTGTAATTTAATAAATGAAAACTCAGGGCGCAGTTTACACAGGTTCACCAATACTGAATAATAATAATAATTTGAAAAAAATGCTGCCTGATTTGATTGTTTCAGCTGCTACACTCAGATGGCTGGGTCAGAATTTTGCATAGCATTGATGTTTGGCACACTTTGGGGCCCCTGAATTACAAACTGAGAATTGTTCAAATACCACATCCCACTTTAGTGTTGTCCATATCATCCATCGGTTTATGAACATTTTCTGATGGCATCTTCCATTCAGGAAATTAATACTCCAAGTCACAAAACACAAATTCTTGAACCACAAATTTCAAAGTTTTTTTGTTTTTGTTTTTTGTTTTTTTTTTTTGCTATTTTTGCTCTTGCTATTAATTCTGTATGTGTTTATTCTACAGTGCACTGCAGCCAAGAGAATTTGACAAGAAACTGCCTCCACGGCCAAGAATAAAGAAGTCATCTCGTGAACAGTTGAGCAAACTTTCAGTTGTAGAAAACAGACTTCTCTTACAGAAGAGAAACGGTGAGAGACCCACAGCAAGCTCAACTTTGGAGTCCACCAAAACACAGGATACGATGGACCCTCGTTTTGTTCCTGAAACTGCCTTAAGTCAGAAAAGCTCCAGCCGCAAAACTCATCGTCACAGGAAGTCAAAACAGAAGAATTTTTTTGAGAACATATGTCGTTGTTGGAGACGGGGCTAAAAGCTAACATTGGTTGCTATTTAAAATTTGTGTGGCGGTATTAAAAAGCTTAACTGAAAACAACAATGTCCAACTTTACTAAACCAACAGCATATGAGAAAACACTGCTACAAAGAGAAATTGCCATATTATTTTCAGCACTGATAATGTAATCAAATAGTGTAAAAGTATTTCAATTTATGGTTCCAAAGTTAATATTTTGTGAGTTTTTCAGTCATTGAAAATAAATCTACGGAGCAGTAGAATTATTAGTCATTTCTTCGGATGGTTTCTCTGATGTGACTTAGCAAAAACAGCACTGGCAATATTCAGTTTCACCCCTGGAAAACATCTGTACAAACCCTCAAAAGAAGTGCATAATGCAAAATGGCACACTGAAAATCCATCCATTAATTTGGAAAAATGTATTTGGTGTCCAAGAAAATCCGAATAAAAAATAATTTTTCTTCACAAAATGTACCAAAAATTATTAGTGTTATTTAAAAATATAGATAACTGAAACATTTTTTTATTGAACAATACTTGTTTAAGCAGATCAGCTCCTACACTCAAGAAGAGCTGAGATTAAAGGTTTGAGTTTTACCATTTGTTTACTGCGATAAAAAACATTAATTTATTGAGGCTGCAAATCAAACTGTATTCAAACAATGTGCTGTGTACTCCACTTTTGCATTTTTTATTGACATGTCCCCTTCCAAGATTTCTTGACTAAATCGTTTTAGTAAAAAAATAATAATGTTGTCAAGAAATGTGGACTCAACATGACTAGATGAGTTCAGTCATTTTTTGTTTTAATAACTGAACTCATTTGTGTTCTGTAGCACACAAGTTTCAAAACTTCACGTACCTTTTCCTGCTTGTAACCCCAGGTTTATTTACTCTTCAGTTATGCTATCTGCATACCTGGAGCAAAATTTTGATGGAGCTGCATGAATGTGTTCAAACATTTAAACTGCAATGTTTCCCGTAGTACTTATTTTCATCCTGAGGGTGGCGCAAGCACGACAAAGGGACCGGAAGTCGACCACATAGCGATGGAGACATTTTAAAATAAACACCAAGCTAACTGCTGATAGAGCTCCGAGCGCACTGCGTCAAAGCACACACAAATATCTTCCATTTATAAAGAGCACGTTGAGTACAGCTCCGTACTCTGTTTGCGGTGCAAATAAGAAAAAACAGCCATTTCCGAAAATGACAAAAAGTCTGACGTCGATGTACGAATAACTAACGCAGTGGTAAGTCTAAACCAACAGATTGCTATGTGGAGGCTACCACTTTGGCTGTTAGCATTAGCTGCTGGCTTGACCCTGCAACCTGCCTGGTCTCACTCTGGCTGGGTAGATACTGTTTCCATTTATAGGATCTTGCAGTGCAGCTGTCCTGCAACCTGATTTTTTAACGACTTGCGGTTTTCCAGTCAAGTTTGCGGAGGTTGATGTTTTAGCCGACCTTAGCTTCACTGCGTAGCTAAAAGATTGCGTTAGCCGCTAGTCAAAGACTTAAACTGACGGAAGTCATTCTTCAGGTAGAAATGCATTTTTATTCTAAGCAAAACGGACGCAGAAAAGTCGAAGTCATGATGTGCTTGAATGTAGGTTAATATTGTGTGATTACTTGTAGGTATGGTTATGTAAAAGTAGACTATTGATTGGCGCTAACGCTGCTTATGAAGGAAAATGTCTGATTTGAGGTGACTGTGAAACAATGCTTAAAGTGCGGGTAGATTTTTACACTTTTCACTCACAACTTTTGAGTTTATATTTTTGAAGCAAACTAAAACCGTGCTCGTGTTGTATTGCTTACACTTAAATTTGGATGTGCTCTGTGGAGGATGGCTCTCAAATCTGCACATTTCCTTTAAAAACCCAAATATATGCTGTATTTACTGTAGAATTAAAAATCTACAGGATAGCAGTAACTTCAATTTGTGCAAAACATTTATATGCAAATATTTCCATTAGGCTATTTTTATGAGAAGGCCCCAAATATGTAAAGTACATAAAAAGGTTGATTTTATTTAATGCTAAAATATTCAGTTTCTTTACTCTTTAAGGATTTCATCTTTATTTTTTTATGTGCAAGGATGAATCTAATAAATCTGATCTTAGTCTTTTTCTTTGTTTTATTTGCAGCTGTTAGCTTCCTGTCCAGGCACATAGGTCCATCTTTCCTGGACCTTTGGGCTCTGGGCTTAGCTCTCTCAAGAAATGGCTGATTCAGAAAAAGCAGAGGAATTTTTGGATGCTGTATGCACCCCCGAGTCTATCGAAGAAGCACAGACCACTGCAGCTTCTGCTCAAGGAGAACAAGATGAACATCTGAAAACGGAGACGACTACTAGTACCAGTTCGCCCCCAAGGGAAAAGGAAGCAGACAGCCCCCTGAATACTGAGGGAGAGCAAAGTCTCCTCTCCATGCCGTGTCTAATGAAGGAGCTTCGCCGGGACTCCCCAGAGTCTCAACATGCCTCCACAGGGAGTGACAAGCCTGTGTCGCGTCACGTCTACGAAAGCGACTCCTCGAATCCCTGCATGTTGTCTCCTTCATCCAGTGGCCACCTGGCAGACTCGGACACACTTTCCTCTGGGGAAGAAGATGCTGCTCGTCCTGCCGGCGAAGAGGGCAGTATGGAATCTGCGAACGATCCTGGCCAGTTAGAAAAAAGAGAGACCTCTGCCTCAGCTTCAGGAGGCAGAAAGTCTCGCCGGTCGCTTTCGGAGAGTGAAATGCTTCCAAATGCAATGGCCGCTAAGAAGAACCGCTGCCAGCCAACCACAGTGGCGCCAGGGCAGGAAAAACAAACCAATGGCAAGATGGGAAAAGTGAAAGGTCACCGGAGTCAGAAACACAAGGAGCGCATGCGTCTGCTGAGGCAGAAGCGAGAGGCGGCGGCTCGGAAGAAGTATAATCTGCTGCAGGACAGCAGCACCAGTGACAGTGAGCTCACATGTGACTCCAGCACCAGTTCCTCCGATGATGATGACACTTCTGGTGGAAGCAAGACAATCAAGACAGATATTCCAGGTAACCTCCATTACCCTGTCCTATTACATGCATATAGAACACTAATACACTTGGTTAATAGGAGAAGATATTCAGACAATACATCGTTAAAGAGTTTCAGAGCATATAACAAAGAGTAATCACTGATCATCAGTTACACAGGCTAACAATGTGGAGTTCCCTGCATGAATATGAGGTTTTAGGCAAATTAAATAGAAAAGTTTTACATATAATGTACATATATGTCACTGTAATGCAGAGCTTGCTTCTTGTGCTTGTTTTATCAGTCACTCTGTTTTCTTTTTCTAGTGGGTTTTATCTTTTGCCATTCATCATCTAAAGTCATTTGCATTGTCTTTTAAAAGCATAGTTTATCGAGAGAGCCTATGTCCAGTGTCTTATGTACTTTTCATGTTTTCTCTGTTCTGTCTCATCAATGCATGCTGGAAGTGTAGTCTGCATTGTTCAACTCACTTGAGTGATACTGATTTAAATATATAACTTGTTTTTTTTCCCATTGATAACTAAAAAGACCTGGGTACTTTCACCCTCTGTCCTAAACCGACTACTGAAAGTCTTACTGCGTTAGCTTGAGTTGTTGATTTTTATTTGATTAAGTTTTGCCTCAAAATTCAACTGGTAGTATTTTAATTTACATGAAGGAGCCACTGAATGTCCACATCAGTAAAAATAGTGTAAGGGGTTAACTCTTTATTTCTAATACATAATAATTGATGCAAAGATGCAGGTGGAGCTTTTCTGATTTAAAATAAGGAGTAAAAATTTTTGCACTAATCAAAGGCTGAAGGTAATTAGTAGAAATGCACCAGTCAGAAATGTGTGGCTCATTTTCAATCTTATTTTTTTTTTGGTAAAGCTTTAACCTGCCTATAGCAATTTTGGACCTATTCCGATTTCTTTAAAAGAAAGTCCTATGGCGTTTCTTTTTCTTCCAGCTTTCCTTCTGTGACCAGGCAATTATTTTTATTAAGAGCAGAGGGGAGGTCACACGGCAGTGAGAGGCGAGTATCTGAAAAATTCTAGGTTTACTAACATTTAGGACAGAAGATTTACTTGTGTTGATATTTCACAAAATTGTGACAGTATTGTAATATTTCTGAGTAGGTTCATTAGTTTTGCTAGTATAATAAAAAAAAAATCTCTGTGGAAGTTATGGAAAATGCAAATCTTTAACTGAAATTTAAGGTTTCAAAGAGATTGATAACCATTTCAAATTCCAGATATTACATAGCAGACAGGGGTTGAAAGCTCAAAAAGGTTGAATATACATTTAGCCTTCGTGTTATCTGAATCTCTACCACTCTCTTACAGATTAGACAAAGAGGAGAGAGTCCGGTTTCCTTTCAAAGTCATTTTGTACATCTCTTAGTTATTATGGTTAGAAAAAAATTTCGATTTTTGATTTTACAATAGGCCAAGATGCAAAACAGCCAATTCTGGTCACCAGCTGATTTCTCGATGCATCTCTTGTAAATACTAAGCCTGGCAGTTTTCCTGTTTCTTTAAAATGCTCATGTGTGATTTGAAGTGTCCAGAATCACTTGTTGACTACGACTCAGGAAGTCTTTCTGTAGGTAATTTCTGTCTCCAAAGGTTTGCGAGTAACTCCTTTTAGACGGATGAGTGTACTTCAAAGACTCACCAGTTGTTTTCCAAACCATAGTCACTGAAAGGGTCACCAACACATCCACTTTTCTTCCTCTTGGTATCTCGTAGTACATGAAACCGTTTCAGCCATATTTTTTTTTTTTTTTACATCCCGGATTCCAATTTGAGTGCTTCAACTGCATGATGTAGTCCATCAGCATGAAAAAGAGTCGATCTGCACGTAACCCAAAACAGACCTTCATTTTCTCTTTAATACACAAGTCCACCTCCGAAGCATGAAACGTGCCACTGTATTTTCTTATGGCTTGGCCTCAATGTCTTTAAAGCTGGCTTCAGACGTGCGTCGGAGAGATCCAGAGTGGGAGCCCAGATTCATGGGCTGCTGGACACCAGTTCGTGGGACAGGAACGGCATCGGCAGCGTTCTGGAGGAGGCCATGACGCGCTTTGCCGTGATGCAGCGCCAGACCGAGGAGCGCTTCCGCATCTGGATGGAAAAGCTGGCCCACCTCGACTCAGACAACGATTCGTCCAAGCGCTCGAGCGACGCCCCCGAGGGCCAGCAGGCGGCCCAGCTGTCCCCCCCGAGCTCGTTTTTGCCCTCATCAGAGTCTGCGGAGACTATGGCCGCTTACATGCTGGCGCGAGAAAACAACAGCCTCGCTCCCGCTCCCATGAACAACAATAACCTCCTTCCTGAAGCGGTCGCTCAGAATGGGAATATAGGTGGTCCAGACCCCGGACTCTTGAATGTTTAGAGTCTACTTCAGGTCCTGTAGTTTTAATAAAAAAAATAAAAATCTAGAACTAGATGATGCTGAAAGCGTGGCAGTCAGTTGTTACAGCTAAATATGATGGGACGTACTCTGAGCAAATACACTACTAACAGCAGCCAGACCTGAGCTGGTCACTGGAACTGGCCTCTGAGCAGACCTTGAGCTCAGTGTTTCTGTTGGCACTGAATCACTGTGAGATTTGACATTCAGAGTTCTCCAACTTGGCCGTTTGATTTGCTGCTGCTTCTGTGACACGGACACAGAATCTTTTCCAACACTGATAAATCAATCAGGGCTGTTATTCCAATATGGTTTGTTTGGCTTGTTTGTTCTCATTTTATCAGCTGTTCAAAAACATACAAACTATCTAACTCCTACTAAAGTGTGCATTAGGGCACCTGGGCAGAAAAATGATGACAGCGCGAGGTAGGGTGCTGCTGAGTAATAGCATGTGCCTTGTCATTCTAAAGCATTTTTTAGTGCTGTTTCTGTAGCAATCAGGTTTAACACTCCCATGTCATTCATGATTTCTTGAACTGTTTGCATCAGGCTTGCAAATGGTTCAGGAAGCTCTTGCATCAACTTTTTTTTTTTTATCTATCTTGGTGGCATAGCTTTACTAACAGCAGAACATTTATCATAAATTTGCCTATACATATAAAATGCAATATACTTACCATACATTATTTTCTCTGCTTTTCAGCTATTACATAATGTTGCCTTTCTGTTACATTTGTTTCAATTGTTGCTTTTACTTTTTTGTAGCAATGTGAAGCTACTGAGGGGGGAGTTGGGTTTTTTCAGCGTTGTCAGACTGTGGACTTCAGGAAAATCTTTGGAAGTTGGCTTGGAAGGGCAAGAGTGTCAAATCATCACTGATGTATTTGCCTTGTTGTGTTTTGTTTGCACTGGCTTTGCCTCCCAGCTTGGCCTTGAGCTCCATGACACAGTGTCTTATTAGCTTAAACATAAGGATCAACTGAAGTGATTGAGGTGCAACATGGAGCATGATGATGTTTACAAATTATTCCTAAAAACAAAAAAAAAGAAGGAAGGAAGGGATAGATGGAAGAACAGACTGATCTGACTTACATCACTGTCTTTTCTGGTTCGTCTGATAGAAAACATTCATCCTCGAACATCTTCGTGACATACAGTGCCTTGCAAAAGTGTTCAGAACTCATTGACTTCACATTTTCTCATGACTGTAGACCTTATTGTGTTTTATTTGGACTGATTTTATGATGGACTATCACAAAGCAGTGCGTGCATTGGGAAGTGGCAGGGAAATACGTGATATTTATTTTTAAAATCTTTTAAACGCATTCTGTGCACTAATATCAAGCTCGCCTATAAGTTAATGGCTTCCACTGCAATTACAGCTAAATCTTTTGCAGTGAATTTCCAACAGGTTTACACATCTAGAAAATAAGTCTGCCTAATGTCTTTTGCACAATATCTCAAGTTGAGGTAGATTTATAACGCTCCGAACGTTTTTTTAAGTCTTTCAACTGAATTTAACTTTGGCCTTTGACTAGGCCATTCTAACATGCATTCTTTATATCCTTCCCAGTCCAACTCTGGCTGTATGTTGGCAAGCTGTATGAAAAGAATCCCCACAGCATGACACTGGCACTGCCACTACCTTGTCTTGAGGTGGGAATGATGTGTTCAAGTTGCTGCTTTTCATTCCATATGCATGAAGTCAGACAAATTTTCATGTCCTGCTGAAGAAGTGCCCCCACATCATAATGCTGCCGCTGTCATGTCTTTTCCTTACCTTTTGATTAAGTCAATTTATCCTTTTCCATCCACTATTTATTTCTCCCCCTTTTATTTCACAAGAATGCACTGCTTTGTGTGTTGGTCGATTGCATAAAATTCCAATTTTATACATTAGAATTTGTAGTTGCGTTGAGTAAAACTTTGATAAAGTTTGAAGGAATGCGAATCCATTTGCAAGCTACTGTATGTGAGGGGCAACATCTGTAACACACAACGCTTCTGACATCCAAACGCATCAGATAGCTGTGGATGGAATCCTTGACTCAGAAACGTTCACAGCCGGGATTCGAGAAGCGCTCCGTATATAAATGACTGTTTGTTTTCTCGGCTCTCAAAGCCGAACACATCGTTTCCCACCACCTGTTTGCATGTGATTATATAACTACGTAGTGCAAGGCCAAACTAGTTCTCATCAGCAGCATGTGTTCAAGGTATATCTGTGCTTGATGCTGATATGAATGGCGACTGACGGGACGTTTTACTGATTGTTTTTTCCTTGCCCTGTAGTTTTGTTTCAAGTTTTTCTGAATGTTTTTTAAGGTACAACGTTTTTAAGGGTTTGTGTTTTTTTGCTGCTTAGATTTAAATGGATCCAACATCTTCCTTTTTGGATTTATTAAAACTGAAGTTACATTTTTAAATGGAAAAGAAAAAAAGAAGTATTGCCAACACTATGACGTAAACTTGGTGCATACAATCAAAACGTGCATTGAAAACACTAAGGGACAGTCCATTGTTTACCAAAGAGACTCTCCTGGTTTACATTAGTGCTTTTTTATCATCAAAATGTGACCTTTATATTTGGAGGAGCTCTGTTTCCCTGGTTGCCATGGTTGAAGTATATCTTAGCTCTGTCAGCTATTCATAAGTTCTCTCATTGTACATGATGTGCAGACAAACCTGCTGTAACACCTACACAAACGTCTGGACAACAGAGTGTGCGTATCACTCTGAGGGACCCTACAGGGTAGATTAGCCTCGCGCTCCTGCTCTTCCACGATTATTCTTCTGTTGTCTGGCTATTTATCATCTTAACTGTGTTTCATTCACAGAGCAAGGTTATTTTTAAGTGTTTTGTAAAAACTGTAGTGTAGTTTTTATGTGGATGGCTGTTATTTTAAAAACCAATAAACAAACAAAAACAAAAAAAACCAGCTGTTGCAGATCCGTTTTATTTATGCATGTTTTTCAGCGTACCGACTCCTTTCAAGCATATGAGGATGATTTTATTTATTTTTTAATTATTTTTGATGTCACCTGCGGTCGTGTAGATGCGGCGTCCAGTTCGTTTCCAAGCAGAATGCATCTACTCCCTAAAGGCATGGTTTGAATAATGAAGTGTTTTCTTTGTCTCCTGCAGACGGGCCTCCGGTAGTGGGTCACTATGATATTTCAGGCACTGATTCTAACCAGGAGAGTATGAGTGTGGAGACAGTCCGGCCTACGGTGATAAGGCATGAGCTAAAAACACACAGAGGCCAGGACATGGCAGCACACTCTGGGTGTATAAGAGCTCTGAGCTCAATCTCAGGTCAGTTACAAACCCGGTGTGTCCGATCTGATCATTTCCTCTAGGTTGAAGTGAGGTGGCTTTGAGAGGGGGGCGGGTGTCTTCCATAAGTAACGGTGGAGGGAGGGGGAACGGGGCTTTTTAATCTCAGCGAGAGGCCTTTGAAGTACACTTCATCACACACACACGTCCCTGGTTTCCATTTGGTGTTTAAAAAAAAAAGTGGTGCTTCTTTAAAGCAGGAAGATGTAGCTGATTCTTTTTTGTTTGTTTTTCATAAACACCATGAGAATTAAGTCTGTGATCTGATTTGCTTCCTTTAATCCAATCAGTTTTTGAAATGGAACCGTCTCTTCCTTGTCTCTGTCAAAGCAGCTACAGTCTTCGTGTGTCAGCAAGGCCTGCAGCTCGCTACTGCTTTGATCCTCCTCCTGATGTGTGACTGTCCCTCTTATTTATTTCAGGCCGTGTGGAGGCAGAGCTGCTGCACAAGGAGAGCTCTCAGCACAAAGGCCAGATTAACATTGCGTCCTCAGACAGTGAGGTGGAAATAGTCGGAGTACAAGAGAACGCACGGTAAAAACGAGTTTGGGAGGGTTTTTCTGAGTTTTCTTAAGCTGCACTTGAAGCAGTCCTGATGTTTTTTGTTTTCTTTTTCACATCCAGATGCGCCCATCCATGCGGAGGGGTGATAAAAAGTCTGTCTTCCTGGAAGGACAATTCAGTGGAGCAGTTAAACAGCACAAATCAATCACAGCTCTGGACTAATGTTTCCCCTCGCCCAAACTGGGTCTCTCCTCCCGAAGTGGTGGACCTGACGTTGGACGAGGACGCCGGGCACAAATATCTACTTTAAAAGCGTTTCGCACACCCCGCCTAGTCCGATACTGGCTGCAGCCTAGCCCTTACCTGCTTCTAAGCTCCTTGTTATCTTGAACTCCTATTTTTAACTTCCTTGATTATTAAAGCCATTCTACTGATGTGATTCCCAAAATACACGCTCGGCAACTACAACCTAGCTATAATGAGATGGCGCAGTGCTGTGAGTGCAAAGTAAAACTTGGGTTATCTGTTCACAATAGCAATATCCTCCCTTCATTCATTACCTCTGTCACTTCTGCTTACCTGAGTTGGGCAGTTTTTTTTGTTTTGTTTTGTTTGTTTCTCATGCTTGCAAGTGAAAGAACATTGCGCCTGCTGCTTTAGATTTTGTTACACTGCTGTTGATCTGCATCTCTGCACACTTTGAGTGGAATGTTTCCGATCCGATTTTTTTCGATAGCACTCAAAATCGAGCTGAATCTGGCATGCTTTTTAAATTTTTTTTTTTATAAATACAGTGTAAATATATGGCAACAGTACCTGATCAAAATATGTTGGGGAGGGAGTTTAATTTCAGAGGTCTCAACACTGGATGTGCATTCAGATCAGTCACTATAGACCCAGTCCGCTTTGCACAGTGTCCAACACCGGCACCACCGCCTGTTCCAATTCGTTCAGAGTGTGTTTCAGCCACACCTTATAGGAACTGTTACAAAAATCGTTTGCGAGTTAAATGAGAGGATCTTTTGGCTCTGATAGATTTACATCCAAGTGTAGTGTTTTTAAAACTCACTAATCAAGACTTTTATCTGGCACACAGGACCTTACTGTCGTAATAGTATAATTTGACACGACTCATCGTTTTTCCCCCCCCACCTAAACTTCTAAGTCTACTTGACATTGGAGTGATTGTCTGCTTCCATTTTCATAGAAAAACAAAAGTCTCTGTTCAGACCTGATGTAAACATCTGTTCTGGTTGATTCAGATCTATGTAGACGAGTTTAATGAACATTCACAGCCTGCTTTAAAACGCTAACACAGAGTCACCTATTCATTTAATGCAGCAAAGAACTTGAATTATTTTCGCTTTGATGTATAAACCAGCAACACGTACTTTAAAGCATATTTGGCTAAAAATAAGATAACGGATAAAGGAATAGAGCTCTGGAAAAAATTGAGACCACATGAAATGATCAGTTTCTCTGATTTTGCTTTTTATAGCCAATTGTTTGAGTAAAATGAACATTGTTCTTTTATTCTTTGAACTACTGACAACATATCTCTGAAATTCCAAGCAAAAATCTAGGATTTATTTGGAGAAAATGAGAAATGGTCAAAATAATCAGTGCTTTCAGACCGCAAATAGTGCAAAAACAAAAAAAATTCATGTTCATTTTTAGAAACAACAATACTGATTCTTTAATTCAGGAAGAGTTCAGAAATCAGTATTTGCGGCTTTCAATGAGATTCAGTGAATACTTTCCAGAGCTGTATACTTTCGTACATCAATGATAAAACTGTAATTACTACTTTTTCTGCTTTCAGAACTACTACCTCGGTCACATGAGTTTTTGTTCGTTTTGTCTTGTAATATTTAGGGGAAAAAAATAACTTTGAATAGGTCAAACTCTATATTAGAAAACTTGAAATTAGAGTCAATCCAGGAAAAGCTTGGTTGAGTCATCGTTAATTTTGACCGCTCAAAACAACGCCTCGGTACAACGCACGGTTGTCATCCTACACACATAACGCCACTTCAAGATGAATTGTCAACTCAGAAACAGACTTAGAATGCAATTTAAGCTTTCATAAGTCAATTCATTATCCTGTCGATCGATCGGCTTGCTCAGGACAGTCACTGGTGCCAGAGGTGAACGGAGTCAAACTTTTTTCAAAACGTTTCGTTTAAATTGTGCTTGCAGGTTGAGCTTTTACTGTTGCATCCAAGGAGGAGTGCGGCGCAGGTTTTAATTCCAATACTAAAACAATTTGGCTCATTTCCACATGCAAACACAAGGTGGGATCTGTGAGTTGGCAAATAATTCATTGTTCTAGTTTTAGTTGTTTTGAGTCGTGTCAAAACAGAAGCCACGTTTTCACCTGAGGGACTCTTATCAGTGAATGTTTGACCTTGCAGTGTTGGCTCCATTTTTACCGCTTTGCATGCTTCTCTCAAATAAACAAAAAAGAAAAAGAAAGAAACTCTGAGAAACCCTTTTTAAAAAAGAAAAAAAAAGAAAGAAATGTTTCTTCCCTTAATTACTGCAAAGCAAAATGGTCTGAATGCCTTGGAATGTGCACTATTTGCTTTTAAAAATGTACAAAGCCTATTTTAACTTTACAGAGCAGCAGATTTTGCTGTCTCATCCACAAATATATTTTAAAAACGGTTGTGAATTAAGCACATATATAAGTATATATTTATATATGTATATATATGTATATTGAAAAGTAAAGGGTGTTGAGTTTGTGCTCATGCGTGAGGCGTTGTGAGGCATTTAATGTGTGTGGGTTTTTTCCCTGTCCGGTCTCCTCAGGGCCTTCTTGCTTCTTGCCTCCAGTCACACCTTGTCTTCATACTGTAGTGGATCCAAGCTGGTGAATTTCTATCAATAGATAACCTTTGCAAACTGTTTTGCTGTTGTTGTTTTTTTCCTTGTAAAACATTGAATAACATTGACTTTCCTATACCATACTTAATAACATAGTTTATAAATTAACTTCATCAGATGTCAGAAAGGGAACATTTCCAATTTTAGCAATCTATACCAAAGTCTAAATGGACTTTTTGTTCTCAGTTTGTTTCAGTTTTATAGTGTGATCTCGAGTCCCTTTATGCATTTGAGCCTTTGTAAACTTGGAAATATGATGCAGATTATGTTTTAAAACTCAAAGATGTCAGTATATCTTGCTTTACTTGGCCAGTTATTTCCACAGTTTGCAGCTTCCACCTTTATTAAATCTTTACCGCAACATTTCTGCTCATTAGTGACAACAGTATCAGTAGGCAACGTGGCAGGGATGCCCGACTGGTTTTACATTGTTTAATAGCATTTTTTTTTTAAAACCAGGTCAAAAATGTTGCTTATTGAAGCTTTGATCCTCTGTTGTTTCTATTCAGCTTGTTTCTCAGTATTTTTAACTAGCAAGAAATGTTTTGTTTTTGGTTGGGTTTTTTTTTTTTTGTCTTTTTTTTTTTTTTTTGTCTTTGTTGCTTCTGCAAGACCCTGACTTCCTTGAAATCATGTATGTAGAACAAAAAGAAACTATTTTAAGAGTAAATAAATAGTATTATTTAATGATATCTTGTATCTGCATTGTTTGCTTTCACAAAACTCACTCTTCTTCCATTTTCAAAAAAATGTTAAGGACTTCATGCAATGGATTAGAATGAATGCAAAAAAAAACAAACTCAACAATAGGAAGTCAGTCTAGTCTTATGTGGCTATTGATAGTAATTTGAGCAAATTGCTTGTTTTGCCACTGAAGCATTTACTAAAAACCGCAGGTTGATGACTGCGACATTCAGAATTTGTTTTCATTCCTTTGGGTGCAACAATTTAGGCAGCGGTGTTTAAAACGTAAGGTTTCTTTTGGGAAAGTGTGAACTTATTTTTCAGTTCAGTTCATAAGTACTGAAAATAGTGAGTGTTGCTTAGTTTGATTCCAACCATTCTTCCACCAACCCTTCAGTCTGCCTGTCCACTTATTCATCAGTCATCTTCCCTGTTGTCTGCGGTGTTTTACAGATGTATTAAAGTCTTGAAATTTCGGGTTAATCAGATTCACTACACTTTGTTAGTTTTAGTTTGTTTTTCAGTTGGTGCGTACAGGATATATAACATATTTAAGGTTAAAAAAAAAAGTAAAATAATTTATCCTGGGATTTTTATTGTTATTCAGGGGTGTGAACACTTTCCATAGCCTCTGCATGAGCAAAAGTGTTTCCACCTCCCAACTCAATGAGATCTCCCCATGCTTTTCTTTTCTCTGCTTAACAGTCCAGACAACAGAGAACAATTCAACTTTAGCCTCACCCAGCAATATGGCATGCTGGGTCAGGGGTCACACTGCAACACCTGCCACTAGGGGGACATATGGAGTTCACATGAAGAGTACAATGAGGCAGTGGAGCAACGCAATGTGGTCCACGGGGCCCTTTTCCATAAACTAAAGCCCTCTTAGCTGGTTTCTTTTCACCCCTGGGGCAGAACTTCAGCTGTATGCTAATTTATTTCGAGCAAGCAGTGGCCTGGCGATGAATGGCTCCTTGCAAGAAACGGTCTTCCTTCCCCTTGCAGATGGCTGAATGACGCCACTCCAAGTTGTGCTCTGCACATTTTCCGCAAGTGATTTCTCCGGTTATTCAGAGTGAGAGCTCGTTTGTATGGCACCGCTCTGCTGCCACCAGAGGGCAAAGAAGGAAACTACTTTCTGTACCCCTGGTTGAGCTAAATACTTTTTTAGTGTCAGTTCAAGAGGAGGAAATTTCACTCGCAGTGAACATAAAGCAAAATGAAAGAGCATTTGTGTTTTGCCTCCTGCTTGAAACATTTTATGGTGAGAAGTGTGGGAGATGGGGGACATATGGAGCTGAAAGTTTTGTGACCCTCTCAGTCTCCCCATGTCCATCTGTTCCCTCACCCTTCGGGGGTTAAAGCTCCAGGCAGGGACTTTTCTGGACAGTTTTCTGCGCCACAGAATTATAATCCAAATTTCTCTTGGGGTGGGGGAGGCTGTTATAAGATAAGATGGGAGATATAGATGAAAATGTTTTAATTTCAGAGGTGACCCTTTGAATTTTGTTCATTATTTGTGCAAATAACTAAACTGTTGGAGTCCAGCAGCGTTTAATGTTTAAGGCTCTATGAGGTGCACTGCACATACACAACCACAGCAAACAGTGCAGAACTATGAAATAAGTTGTGATCCATTTAAAGTGGGGTGAAAAATGTTTTATGCTACACATAATTCAGACTTTCTCTAAAAACAACCTTCAAATGATGTTTGAGTTAAATGCCTAATGCAGAGAGGAGGAAAAAATAACCCCAAAGATGTCCATATCCTCCAATCAAGTTAAGAAGTTGTGTTCTGATGCTTCTCATAATTACACAAAGTAATGTGCAATTGTGAAATACAAGAAAAATAAATGTGTTGCTTTCAGAACTTTGTGCATATACAAATATAAAAAGTTTGCATTTGCTTTCAGTCCCCTTTTTGTCGGTTTTTGCTGCAATTACGTTCAAAAAGTCCTTTGAAAGTTTTCTTTGGAATTAGTTTAAACTCTGTCAGATTAGACAGAAATTATCAGTTTTCAAATCTTGTCAGACACTGATTGGACTTGGGCCTGGATTTTGACTGTACCAACACATGAACATGTTCTAACCTACAGGATTTTGTCATGAAATGTAACCCTTTGGCTCTGACCGGGTTTAAGAAAAGTGTGAAAGTACACTTAATAGACACGAAATCATTAAAGCTTATTGTTTTAATGCTACTGCAAAACGAAAAATAAACCAAATAGAAAACATCTCATTTTTGACTGTGAGAGACATAATCCCTATTGAATGGTCCTGTCATGGCGGGGCGGCCTGTCCAAAATCACACATCTCCGGCGAGACTCGAATCCTATTGGTGCATCGGGATGCCAAAGCCGCCGCGGTCCTGCTGGAAGGGAGGCTCTGATTGGTCGGGGTGTGCTTACAGCTAAGTCTGTCCGTTTCGCGGTGCTGGAGGACGGACGGGGGGGGCGACAGGGGATCATTTCCATGGACCATCTGTCTCGCTGGCTGCGCTCACAACAAAGAAGGACCCAGGATGGTGTTAGTCCATGTCGGATATCTGGTTCTCCCCGTCTTCGGCTCAGTTAGAAATAGAGGTATGACTAGATTTACGTTGTTGCTGTTTCTCTTTTTTGTTTTGTTTTGTTCTTCTCTCTTATCCTGACCCCCGCCGCTACATTTTCTCGGCTGTTGGGAGTCATTAGTATCGATAAAGATGATGTAAACAGAGCTGACACCTGCTAGCTGAAACGAAGCAGTTAGCCGTCCCGCTAGCCGCAGCGCCGCTTCAACTGAAACCCGGCAGTTATAACGCTTTAACGGTCCCGGAGCCGAATGAAGGCGGCCGAAAGCGAAAAGAGTCGAGGAGGCGTTGTTTCATGGTGGCCCCACAAGGCCTACAAACCGCAGCTGTCAGATTTTCAGGCTCGCTTTTGTTTTATCCTCGGCGCCGTCTTCTGTAGCTGCGTGTTTTTTTTTTGTTTTGTTTTTTTTTATTTTGTTTTTTTTTTTGCTTCTGTCGCATTTGGAGCAAGTGTAGTTCAACGCGATTCAGGCCAACCCGAGTATCTGGCTAAAAACTAACAAATAATCAGTGTGACAGGGAGGCTGCTTGCTCCTTTGTGTTGATGACGTTCGTTCATTTGTATTTTTTTCTGAGCTTGTTTTAATATCGCTTTTTAAATGTAATTACAGCCTCCCTGCCATAAGGAGTATTTCAGGGTCCTAGGATTTTTCTTTTCTTCTTCTTCTGCAAATCCTTCAAATTTCGACGAATAAAGCATAAAATGAAGAAACAAACAAACGTTCAATTCGGGCTGAAATGTACCTTAAGAACAGGGGAATAAAAATCACTGGTTCAATTAAAAACTAGAAATATATCTCTGGAATATCTTGAGTTGTTTATAAATTAACAGAAATATTTCTAAAAAGTGTTTATTTCGCCAAAGGGGGGAAAAAATGGTGTATATTAAAAATGTTGCCTTCACAGCGTCTAGAATTGTAAATTTAAAAACCAAAATTCTTATCAAATGTGTTGAACTGGCGTTAAAAAACGTACATTTTCTTTTCAAATGTGTTTCTTTGGCCATAAGTATTGGGGAAAAAAAGCTCTTTTTCTTCTTTTTTTCTTTTTTCATTTTATGGCCAAATCAATACATACCACACATAGTTTATCAATGTCGAAACAACTCTTGGTGGGGTAAAAAATGAACACGTGTGCCTTTTGAATTTGTAGAATTGGTCATTTAAAAACAAAAAAAAAAGTACCTTTGATTTGAATGTCTTAATTTGGCCAATCAAAGCAGAGATATGCCTCTTAAGTGCAGCAGGCTATCTGTGTTGATTATGTAATAATAATAATAACAATAACAATAATAATAGTAGCAGTACTAGTTATTTTGATTGTTAAAACTACATGCAGTAGCACCAATGATTTCATTGTGCTTTTATTTGTGTTCTTTTTTCCTGTTCCATAGTATCGAGGCTGGCTCTACATTCCGCATTTCTCAGACCTTTGTCCCCCTCCATTGTGTAGCTAACGATCATCTGCTGCTGTCTGCCGTAGCCTCTGCCTGTTCTCTGCATCTAGCTGTATTGTGAACCCCCTTCTTCCTCATTTCCTCTTTCCATCCGAAGAAGACATTGGCATTAAAACAGTCAAACAAACAAACCGAGCTCCCACTCATACCGTATCCTTCTGTGTAACAGACTAAAGAATAACACTCTTCTTATTTTTCTGTAGGAAAAACAGTTTGTCTTGATTTGAACTGTCATGTTGCTCTTTAGTGGATAACCCATTGTAGAGTTTACTGCAGGCTGTCATTGTGATTCTCCCATTCAGTGTGGATAGACTACATTCTGCTGTAAATTTCTGTAAAGTGGATACATTTTGATCCTCCCGGATTCGATTACAGCCAGGCTTGATCGAACTGTCTTGATTACCGTCTCCATTCTGTATTTGCCAAAAGGTGCATTGTACCAGCTGTTGCACTCAAACCAAGCAGCTGCTTTTACGCTACCATGTGTAATCCAAATTATCAATTGGACACCGTTCTACAACACCGACTTCACAAATTAATTGAGGCTGTCTCACCCCCGATGGTCCACTGCACCTGTTTTAAAAGCGCTGCCCAAACAGCTGGCCATAACCCCGTCCATGTGTCCAAGCCTGTGTTCCCGCTAGCCGAATTGATTTCACAGTAAATTGGCGAGATGCGGCTCTAACTCATTGTGCCATTTTTTGAAAATAACCCACTATCATGCGCAGCCTCCCCTCCTCCTTACCCCCTCTTCCTCCTTTTCAAATCCTCCAGCGCCTCCAGAATGCTATCCATTTTACAGGGATGTGTATATCCTGCACTGCTGTAGAACTCCTTTTAGAACCAAAATGTCTTTAATTTCTTATTTTTTATTCTTTGGTTGTGGTTTTTTACCTTATGTTTTTTTTTTTTTTTGTATTAGAACCTAATGCATGTTCATTTTATACTTTTGTTTTTTTGTTTGTTTTTTTTTCACATTGAACAGCAGATTCTAATGTAATCTTTGTGTAGAGATGTCCCTGCTGTACTGAAATGTGCTGTAAGCATACACATCTACTCATTGGATGCTGCTTCTCTTCTGTTAACCCTACAGAGAGCATGGTCAGGCCTCGTCTTTGGTCTTATTTGCATGGTACTACGATAGCTTTGTAGGTTTATATAATATTATTATTACTATTATCACACAGTGCCACTCATACTAATATTTCCCAATAAAGACTGTAGTTCTCTTCTTAACCTTCAGTGTGCTTTTTGCTGATTTCCATGTGTTCCCTCCTTCCTCCCTCGCCCACTGTGCTGTCACTGAGACAGTCCTCCTCACTCTATGTATGTGCTCTCATTTCTCAGCCGTCTTTGACAGAGTCTCCTCAAAGTTGCTGACTTGGCTTATTTTTTGGAGCCATGGCAACCTTTTATCCATTTAACAAAAAAAAAAAAAAAAAAAAGACTGATATTTCCTTTTTTCTTATGTCATCAACTTAAACCATTCCACTATAAAACAAAGCACTTCCTCCTTCACATCAACTCATTGGTGTTTATTGGTGTTGAGTTACAATAGGAATCTCTGTTAATTGAGAAATACCACATCCAGTGCCCTCCACAGTTATTAGCTTAAAAAAGGCTCTTTATTACACATTATGAGATATATTTTTTATTTAAATCCATGATTGAAACAATTGATAGTGTTCACACTTGGTTTGTTGGTCGTCTCGCTAACTTCTAACATACAGAGGGATGGGTCTTTGGGAAAACAATCCCATAGGACATCATCTTCATGATGTTATTATCAGGATTGCTAAAGTATTTGGAATATATACAAGCATACAGCATTACAGTTCTCTACCATATCTTTTTGTCTCGTATTAAAGTTTTTACATCAAACGGAAAGTGCTAGTTGAAATAAAACTAAATAAATTCAGACTGCACTAACCAGAGCACTCGGTACCATTTAAAGTGTTAGTATTTAGAACGTCGTTCACATTTATGTTTGTGATGGTAGGACATTCACAGAAAAGACACGGCTTCCAAAAGATTGGTTGGTATTTACAAGGCGCCCATTAGTCGATACAAAGACCTGGTGACCCCAACTCTTTGCTGTATTATTTATCTTTTTCAACTTTCTGGCAAATATTTCCAAAATAGTGCCAATATTTTGGCATAATGCCAAAATAAACTTTCCTTTCCATCCTTGATAATATTGTTTTTTTCAGTTGGCTTATGTTTTTTATATATATATATATATATATATATATATATATATATATATATATATATATATATATATATATATATATATATATATATATATATATATATTTTTTTTTTTATTGCTCTCACTGTAAATTTAAGAAAGTGTGGGTGAGTAGCTGTTGATATTTCTCGACTTTTGAAGGTCAAAGCATGTCCTGCTTTTCGTTTTGAAAAGCAGCCAAAGTAGATTACCTCTGTCACATTATGTCCATGCTCCAAGGAAACAAGTGATTAAACAAAAATAAATACCAAAATCTATCAGTAAATGCATTTAATACTACGGACCATCAATAGTTGAGGGGCCTTCAGATTTTCTAATACTCATTATTGTTTTTTTCCCTCAAGGAATCAAAAGACCTACATTCAAGGTTGATATTTTTTTTAAAGTTTGGGTTTAGGTTACAAATTTATTTGAGTACTTATTAAAACAAGGGGGCCAATAACTGTGCCAGGTGCTGTAGCTGCTCGTCTCATTTGCTTTTAAACTAGTTGGGTATTTGCAGATACATTCATGTATTTCACTGGTTGCTCAAATTAGCGGTTAAAAATGTATCATGAAGTAAAATAATAATAAAAAATTTGGCAAATTCATTATACTGTACCAAATATATCAAGTGTTTTTTTTTTGTTTTTCTACTCTGATCATTGCAACAGGTTAAATTCAATATCTAGAATTATATATATATATATATATAGGCATGTTTCAAATATTTTTTTAACTAAATGGTTACCTTGTATTTAAAACCTCTTCCTTTAAACCTTCAAAAAGCCATGCTTTTCTACAAAATGTGTGATAAAAGAAATAAAAAAGCAAAAACAACCAGTTTGGGTTTATTGGTGCACAATATGTCTAATTCTGAAGTCAAATGATCCGATTTTTATGAACTGAGGTGCTTTTCTTTCAACTGAGCACATCCGAGGTAATGGGAATTAAATGGTCTCCAACGATGCTTCGATACGGGGATTCAGCCATTATTTGCGAAAGCAAAAGAAGCAGTCGGACTAATCAGCTTAGTCACATCATTCTACTTTATTTATTTTTGTCTGTATTATAATGCTGAATAATGCAGGTTATTGTAGGCTAAAATAGAAACTTGAATCAAACATTTAACAGTTCACTCATGGTTTTATGAAGGTGATCTCAAAGGCTGTCAAAGTCACACACACCCTTTGAACTCTTTCACATTTTGTCGCGTTCCAAACACAAGCCTCCTATTTCAATAGGAAATTATGTGGTAAACCAACCCAGTATGATGCATAGTTGTGAGGTGGAAGGGAAATTATGGTTTCATGCAATTACATATGCTGGTAATTTTGTGTGTGTCTGACAATCTCTACAATTGTTTTTGTCAAACGGGTCAAGCTCTGTCAGATTGGATGGAGATCATCTGAACAGAAAAGGTCAAGTCCTGATAGACGTGTTGGACCATTCCAGCACATCTATGTGATCTAAAGCACTTCATAGTGGTTTGGCACATGTGAAGGTTTTGTTTCCAGGATTGCCCTGCATTTAGCTCCATCCATCTTTTTTTTTTCCATCAGCTCTGGTCATCTTCCTTGTCCTTGCAGAAGAAAAGCATCCCAAACCATGATGTTGCCACCACCACATTTTACCAAGCCAAAGGCGTTATGGCTGATGTGCAGGTTTGGTTTCACCTGACAAGACTGGCTTGTTGATCTGTTGGTCTACTACATAAAATCCTAATTAAAACACATCAAATTTTATGGCTGAAATCTGACAAAATGTGGAAAAGTTCAATAAGCATTTACATTTTTGCATGGCACCGACATGCACAGATGTAGGGGTCATTAAAAGAAATGAATCTTTCTCATCCAACTGTCTCCGAAAATTAGTAGAACTGATTTTGTCACATTTTTAAATAAACTCTTCAATTGCGAAGCAGCGAGATGCTGCTGGTCGTTTTGAAAAAATAAATAAGTGAAGCTCGCAGTGTGTGTACCAGCAATATTGGAAAGCAAAACCCATTAAGTTGAAATTAGACCAGTTGACAAGGCTTTGTGAAATATTAAGTATCCTTTGATTTGAAGCATGGAAGTCAAAATGGTGTCGAGAATATTTCATTACACTGTCGGCGCGGTCTGGCTGCGATTTTTCATCTCAAAAAGTATTTCGAGTCCGCCTCTAAATGCACATTCTATCAAACATTAAGAAATTGAAATATGTAACTACAAATGTAAGGAGCGTAAGAAGTTGCTGTCTGAGTTTTACCACTCCTACTAGTTCAGGGAACCAGATATTATTCATGCGCAGAGACAAAAGGAGTGCTTCAGTGAGATGCAGCCTCGCAAGCTTGGCACATTTCTTCCCAAACTCCAGCGACAAAGAGTTTTAAATAACTCAACAGCTGTAATGCATGATGCTCCTCTGCAGTGGCTGTGCTCCAACTGTGAAACTATCCCGTGTCCTTATTTAACAAGCAGTGCAGCTGCACCACGACGCAGCTTACGCCTGTGAGTTCATCAGGTGAGATGATTTTTGCTTTATTGTGTGACATGATGATGAATGGAAGAGACACAGGAGACGATTATGCTGGGATCTGGCGAGCTGCAGCGATGGATGCAGGAGGAGATGAGGCAGGTTTCATGTCAGCCTGCTGCAGTCTCAAGTGGGCGGGGCTTATCGGCTGTCACTCAAGCAGGGAAACCATGCTGCAGCCAGATTGTGGGGGAGGGGCCGCTGGTGCTTAGGCTTTGGGATGATGAGCTGATTTTCTTAGGCTTACTGGGTTTTCTCTCTGCCAAAAAGAGAGAGAAAAAAAGGGGATTTTATGTCTCAAAGTCAGAAATTTCACATCAGGGCAGTTTGTCCTTGTAGCTCTGCATTGCCTCATTTTCAAATATCAGGAGGACAGGGTGTGAAAAGATGATGTTTATAAAGGCTTCAGACAGTGTCCACTTTTACAAAGTCAGAAGCCCCCTGCACACAGCAACTTATGTACAGCAGCCAGAAACCAATGTGAAATATCAGTGTGCCATTTCTGCTCTACTTCCTCAGCCAAATGTTTAGCCGTGCCTTTCTGGGTTCACTGGCTTCTTCTGTCCTGGGGCTGAATGCGGCTAAGTGAAAAAGTGACAAAAAAAAAGAAGAAAAAGTCAGTAATGCTACGTCTGGTTAATGTGAATTAGCAGCAGCTGATTAGTGTAGCTTTGTCAAAACATTGTGAGTAAAGTATGTTAAATATCACTTAAGAGCATGTTAGCTTAAAGGTTTGGCACTTTAGGAGAAGCATTTATTGAAAAATCATTTCTCCTACCATTCTCCTGGTTTTATAATGCACAGATCAAAGGAACATTATGTTACTGTCTAGGCTTTCTTTTTTCCCCACAGACAAATCCTAAAAAGGACCACCAATGATAGAGCCGGGCCCTCTATACTGCTTGGTTCCTAGCTTTTTAATAGAATTAGAGTATAAAGATGGTCAAAATGACAGAATTCACTAAAAGTAATTAAATGTAACAAGAAAACTATAAAGAGCAGCAATCAAACTGCTTACCTGACATTAAGAAGTTTCATACCTTATTTGACATCCAAATGGTTGTGCTTGCAAATATTAAATTAATATTAACAGCCCCTCAGTTCTCTCTTGCAATGGAGGACGGTTGGTTACAGCGCAGGCAATTTCTGGTAAGCTTCATAATGTCAAACTGGCGCAATATAAACATCACGGGAAATATTTGCTATTGGGTAGCATTTAAAATTTTAATAGTCTACTCATCCAGCAAACAATTGTATCAGAATAGCTGAGGTTTCAGACCTGTTGTATGGTCTGTGGCTACAAAAATATATAATCAAGTTAAATTTCTTTGTTGAAAAAGCTTCTTGTCACTTGTTCTAGTTCCCTAAAAATAACTGAACTGCCAAGGAAATATCACACATTGCATGCAATATGAATTTGGCCAAAATAAAGTGCCAAGTTTCACTCCTTTTGAAAACTTCTGAGTTATGAAATCAAATGTGATAATTGGATTTCAATAATAGTACCAGCCAGCAGGAGGTTGCTGGTTACTTGTATTTAATCAGTGATCATAATCTTCTGCAATTCAGAAGAGTAAACTTGTCAGAACTACAAATAAAATATTCCATAAATAACTTAGAAGTAAATGTGAGAAAAATGTATTATTGTGTTAGGTCATGGAGATCAAACCAATAGCTTGTGAATAATGCGTATCAAGTGAGAAAAAAAAAGGTATTTAGTGGCCTACGTAAGAAAGAAGTGTACAATTTCTGGCTATTAGCTGTTCTAAACAATGTCTAGGACAAGCTACAAACACTGAATAACCTTCTCGTATTAAATTAGTTTTAAAATAATTATTAAAAATCAACTCATAAGCCAATCCCCATAGTGTCACTCTATATTACTGTTGAGCAAATTATAATTGGCTAATTGAGCATGAAAATTTAGTTGATGTTGAAGTACGACATCATGAACAGCCCACCCCCCAAATCCTACTGGTCCAGAAAGCATTACTGGAAAGTTAAAATAGCATTTTCTTTTTGTTCCTACTCCAAGCTCTTTCCAGCCGCTATTTTGTCTGAGCAGAGAGTAATTTGTATTGATTGACTTTGATGCCATCTAATGGCTTTTCTGTCTCTCATATTAAGTGGAAATGGAGGCATGTCATTTTTTCCCCCAGCGTGCTCAGCTGCGGTGCCTTTTTGTTATCAGGTTCATTACAAGAAGTAAGGAGTTTAATGTTCCTTCAAATAGCTTGCACCATAAAGAGCTCAAATTCTTTGGGTTACGAAGCCCCAGACTGCAGATAAGTACCATCCTAAAATTATTCTTTGAATGAACGATATGCAGGCCCTCAGGAGTGTGAAAGTGGGTCTTCTGAGTCTTCTGAGGCCTGACGTTTCTTACTCAGCTTCGGTTTTTGAAGTCTCGCATTGCCTATATGTCCATTATGAGGTTTCTTTCTCTATTTAAAGGATCACAGGCCTTTATGCTCTCATCGCTTGCCTTTATGTCACATAGGAGCGCACTTCAGCAGGCATCAGCACAGCCATGCTACCTCCTGCCGACATTTTCATCTGGGCACTCCCCAGGCTCCCATCTCAGCAGAATTCCCTCTCGGACATGCCGGCCAGCCCCCGCAGGCGGGCCTGGCCGCCCACCTGCCCCCTACGCACCACCCGACTCTCACTGCCCTGCCCGCACCCCCTCAGTTTCAGGACGTGCCAGGGCCTTCATTCCTACCTCAGGCCTTACACCAGCAATACCTCATCCAGCAGCAGCTCATTGAAGCGCAGCACCGCAGGATCCTTCCCCACTCCTCCAGGTAGTGACGGCACTGCATGCACACGCACATGCATACGCTCAGAGATTTGAATCCAAACCCTCTGAATTGCATTGCAGAAGAACCCAGGAGCGCATTCCTCTGAATTCTCACCGATTGCGTTCGGGTTATGAGTACTCCCCTCCCATCCACGTCCCTCAGCCAATAACGCAGCAGCCACGGTACCTGGCTGAAGGCACGGACTGGTGAGTGCCCATCTGACATTAACAGGAATACTGCAGAGTTGATAAATTGTCCCAGCTATTCCTGTCTGTACTCATCTGTCTGTCACATCGACTGGCAAGAGTAATAATGCTGATTTAGTCCCATGCCTGTCTGTCTCTGCAGGGATCTCAGTGTTGACGCTGGCCTCCCTCATCAGTACCAACTCCAGCAGCTTCCGCAGCACTATCAGCATTACCTGGCTTCCCCTCGAATGCACCACTTCCCCAGGAACACGTCGTCTGCCCAAGTGGTACGCTGTGTTGTTCTCTCTTGATCTCTTTTTTGATGTTCAAGGTTCTGGATGCATGCAAAGAATGAACAGTAGCTCTGCAATCCAAAACACAACAGCAAAAGACCAAGAATAATGATCAATATTGAATTGTTTGAACAATTGGGGATACAGAAACAAGTCACGCAATGAAAGCGAAAGAAGCTGCAAAAGCCAATACTGTTTTTTTTTTTACTCTATCACTAATAGTGAAAACCAGGGTGAAAATGGTTTGATAGCCATTCACGATAAAGATTTTGTTTTAATGATTATTTGGAAAAATATTGTATTTTTTTGGCATGTCATAACATAAACAAAAATATATGAATAACACATTTTAACAAATGTGATACTCCTTCAACATTGCTTAGTTATCTCTTGTCTCTGGGCCAAATTAAAGTCACGCTAAATCAAAAATCTGCCATCAATGATTTTAGATATAAAATGACAAAATTTCATGTCTCGTTATTGGAAAAATTTCAATTCTAGCCTCTCTAATTCTGCAAACATTGTTCTTCGACCAGGTTGTTCATGAAATCAGAAATTATCCATATCCCCAGCTGCATCTGTTAGCACTGCAAAGTCTGACTCCCTCGAGGCATGCCACCGCTGTGCGAGAAAGTTACGAGGTAAATCCTCTTAAATGTGTGGATATGTCAGTCTCCAAATCATTCACTGCTGTCCTCACTTCAACGACGAAACAATTCTCACCTCAGCGTCCTCTAAGTGTTTTCTCAAAGCGTGCCGTCATTCTCGTGAACGTCTGCTGTTTGAACAGGAGCTGCTGCAGCTCGAGGACCGACTGGGAAGTGTCAGCAGAGGAGCTGTCCAAACAACCATAGAGAGATTCACCTTTCCACATAAATACAAGAAGGTACAGTAGATGACAAGATTTATGCAGGCACACTTTAAGCATTTGAGATTTGTATTGTTTTCAGATAGGTTTTACCTTTTGTTATCTGTTACAGAGAAAGCCTCTGCAGCTAAAGATTGGGGAGGAAGAGGAGGAAACAGATGTGGATGAGAAGTGCACCATCTGTTTGTCCATGCTGGAAGATGGAGAGGATGTCAGGTGGGTGATGCTCCATAGCTGCAAAACCGATGCAATTGATTTATTTGTTTATTTATTTTGTCCCTCTTGAATTAAACAAAGAGATCAGTGGGATTGTAGTCCTGTTAGCAACTGGCTCATTAATCTCAGAATCTAGACTGGATGATACATGCAGTGGGTACAAGTGTAAAAATGTCAGTTTGCTCAGTTTTCACGGGATGATGCTTTGCTCTGAGCAGTTGCTAGGCAACTGCAGTAGTAGATATTGATGTTGCTGATGATGGCCAAGAAGTGATCCACCCCCTAACCCTCAATTTACACTTGCTGCAAAAATCAATTACACTTCATTTCATATCAGGCTGGATATATCAGGAATAATATTATCTTTTTTTTCTGACTGCACCTTACAATGAGGTAAATAGAGCCACAGATGACCAACTGCTGATGAAATTAGGGGCTCACTCCTATAAAATCAACTTTCTGATGTCTGTTTGCTGCTGTGAAACGTTCAGGTGCGTGTTAACACAATGCCAGCATAAGTATTTATTTTTTTAGAAAGTACGTTGTAGATTCTCTTCATCGTATAAAGAACTCAGGTTGAGTTTCGGTATTGTAGGTGAAAGATTAATCACAAGTAAGTTTGTTCAGTTTAAGTTTTTGGTCTTCTACGGGACCATGGATTTCTGATAAAAAAAAAAAAAATTGCCAAATATTGAAGTCCTCAACCTGCAGAAACAACAGATTTATTTGGCTCTTCAGAAATTTTAAAAAGAAGTAGAAGTGCATTATCAAACACTTGCGTCTATTTGCCATTGTCGTGCACGGTAGTGGAAGATTCATGACTTGGGCTTGTATTGTAACCAGAGGTTATTGAACCCACCAGGAGCTCTTTTGTGTTTAAGTGGAAGTAAAGTTACTTTTTATAATTTAAAGGATGCACACAATGAAAATTGTAAACTTTACAGTTCTACAAGCAACATTTAAGTAGCATGTGGATCTTTCCTTAAAGAACCAGTTCAGGAACAGAATCTTAAGGAGGAATGAAAGCAGAGCCCCATGGGGGAAAGAAAGAGTGTTGGTTTACAGCATGTGGAGTCGCAGCTGTCTTATAAGTGAGTGGGGAATGATGACTGAACATGAGCTATATCTATGCCTGGATAAACAAATGCATCTCCATTGGTTTTAAATGCTTCTAACAACATAATGGTGCTCTTTAGGAGAGTCTATGTGACTCCATAATGTCGTCTCTTTGTCTTCCAGGCGATTGCCATGCATGCACCTCTTCCACCAGGGTTGCGTGGACCAGTGGTTGGCTACCAGCAGGAAGTGTCCAATATGCCGGGTTGACATCGAAACACAGCTGAACCCCGACAGCTGATGAGATTTGACTCCTTGTGATTCACTCAGTCTTGTGAGATTCCTCTCTCTCTTCCATCTCGGCTCAGCGGCCTTCCCCCACATGCCACTGTCCATGCGACCTGCCACCCACCCCCGACCCTCATGCCTCCTTCTCCACTTGGTGGGTGCTTTGCCAAATGTCTCCGGACTTCACGCGGCGCAAACCCCCCCCAAAACCCCCACTCTAATTAATGCTTTATTGAGCCAAGCCAGGACTGCACGAGAGGCCACGAAAGACTCTCTTTATATAGAAGCACATCCTCTTGGGACGCAAACGACACTGGAATACAAAACCACACACTTTCTCATGTACACAGGGTTTACTTGTAGCTTGCTGGTTGTGAGTGGGGTGTTGTTGCAGTTGTGGTGTTGTACTGTAGGTAGCCACGGGCTGTGTAGCATGTCCTCAAAGCCATGACTTTATGTCTGCAGAGCGGTCACCCACCGAACTGTCTACTTTCTCTAGTTTCTCTGTCTTTTTCTTACTCTGACATGAATATAAGCTTAACAGCAACTAACCGCTCTGATGCCATGTTTACCTAAAGATCTCTGTGGTCGTAGTAGAGTAGCAGTAACCAATAAGTGATACTTGGTGGACTCTCGCCTTCTTGGGTCGAAGCACTAGCTAGTTGAGTGTTTTGATTCCGTCATACAGCTTTGACTTTTTGCAATACAGTCGTACTTTATGCTCTGGGGGGTGTCATTTGGTTGCCCTCTTGTGCAACCGAACCCTGGTGACTGAGTGGGGGTGTCTAAAATAGGCATAAAGTGTTTTTATTTTTTTTAGTTTTTTACCAAAATGCATTTTATTGAGTTAGCTTGGGTCTGCACACGAGTTTTGTGTGCGCGCGCGTGCGTGTGTGTGACTAAACAAATATGTGTCAGTGGCATGTTGAGTTTGCTTTAAGAGTTAAGAGGTTAAATACTGCAGCCGCCAGAGCTCCGACAAGACACAAAACCAAAAAAAAAAAAATAAATAAAGGGATGAAATTAAAAGTTCTTATGCACTAGGCATGGGCTGGTATGGTATCATTGTAGTTACACAGAAAATTATAATAAGAATGTAAAGAATTAATTGTTTTAAGACAGAAAATAAACAATTATTCCAATTGCTGCTAAAACATTAGAACATATTGAAAACCAGGCAGAATTGTATGTATGACAATTGTTTTAGTTATTTCACCTTTGAAGCACTGGGCTTCCTTTTGCTCAATTTTACACACTTTTGGGCATCTTAGTGAAAAGATTGAATGTTCAGCAGTTTTAAAACTGAAAATAAAAAAACAAACAAACAAAATAAAACGTGGATACCAGAGACTGGCCCATGCCTCTCATGCACTGCAGATGTAGGTGGGAGGATGTAGTTTTCCTTCTGCCTGCATTTTTTATTTTATTTTATTTTTTTTATCTGGAATTGACCTGAATGGCAAAACAAAGTGTACTGACATGCATGTTTCATTGAAGTTTTTAACTGTCAGCTTGGGCAGCGTCACCTTAACCTGGAAAGGGTGACAAGATTCCTGCGCATGACTTAGTTAACCTGAGCTCTGACTATCTTCTCAACACTAACAAAAAGAAAGAAAGAAAAAAAAAAAGGTCAGTCAGCGGCTGCTCCCCTGACTCGTAGCTTGTGTTCGTCCTGTCCCCCTTCGACGACGACGGGACTCTCTTGATGTTTACCTTATTGCCTATGAAGAGCAAGCACATATGACAATAGTTATAGCAACAAGCTGTTTTCCTTGAACTTGCATTCATTGTAGATCCATGCAGTGTTTTAGATGGGAGAGGAGCGTTTGTTTTTTTTACTACATCCTGATCCCATGTGTTTGTGTGACAGGCCTCCCTTCGTGGTTGCTTTGCTGGTTGCTACGCTGTACTCCTAGAACACATAGGGCGTGAGGCGACGAAGGCAGCCTCACTCTTGCAGTGCACACAGACACAAGATGACGCCACAGCAGGAAAAAACTAAAAAAATAAAAATCACTTAGTTTTTTTTTTTTCTTTCTCTCCTTCACTCCCACAGAGCCATGTTTTAAAGATCACCTTTAGGACCCGCACCGTCCTATGCACTGTGATAGGAAGGGATTATTAGACCTTTCAGTTCCCGTCTTGTGCACTGCGAGTGTTGACACTGCCTCTTCCCATGGTGGAGACATCTGTGATGAAGTTTTTATAGTTTACACAGGGTGTTGTCAGCTGAAATGCCTTAAGTATTTAACAATCATAATTTATTACTAATTGTAGATATTGTGGGGATGTATTTAATTTTATTGTTTTTTTGTCTTTTTTGAGAGTGACAGAAAAAGAGAGACAGAGCGACTGAATCATAATTTATTTATTTAGAAATAACGAAAAAAAAAATGCTATGAAAAAAAAACGATTACCTCATTTTTGCATTGTTGGAAATGGGAATGCTTTGCATGCAGTTGTACTTTTTGAACATTCAAAATATATATAAAAAAAAAAAAAACATTGAAAAAACTAGCCCTGCTGTTTGATCTCCACAAGCTGGCTATGCGATGATTACGGCCCCAGACTGAGCTACTGAGCCTGCTCTCTGTCTGTCTCCCATGTGGTGCTGTGGATCTTAGTTACATTCCATTCAATGCAATCTGTCTGATCCCTCATGCTGTGATGTGGACAAACTGCAATGAAGTGAACTAGTCTTTTAGTTTGTGTTCTGTTTTGCACTCACCTGTTTGATATACATCGGAACCCTCTCACTGGCAAAAGCAAAACAAATTTGCTTAGACAAATTAACTGGCTTTTATTTTGTATGCTCTGCTTCTTACAGTGCGCTGTCTTAACGTCTTATTGAAGCATGTTCCTTTTTGGCCACTTTTGTATTTGTCTTTGTCTTTGATTCTAGCAGTCTTGGATTCTGCTTCCAAAAAAAAAAAAAAAAAAAACACTTCAAAGACATAAGCATAACAAGTGCCTCGCTTTAGGTGTACTGAGAAATTTCCATGACACTGAAACCACCGACAACAAGCCCCCTGCCTTATTGGTTGCATAAATAATTGAAGGAGTGGAGCTAAGACACGTGAACGCCATTCTAATTAAAGAGACGGTTCAGATTTTGTTTTTTGGGGTTCTGTGGAGAGATTCAGAGCAGATCTTAACCCTAACCTTAGCTTAACTAGCACATAATGTTTTGCTTAATGCTAATCTCTATAGGTTAACACAAGTATGAGGAATAACAATTTACTTAAATATTAATTGCTGCAGAAATACCTTTCCTGTAGCCAGCTGATTAGCAGGCATGCCACTCATGGTTTGCTAGGTAAACAGTATTGCCTTTTGATGAGTGACAGGAGGCAGCGCTCCTTTATTTGGCACATCATGGTTGACTTTCATAACTTGGAAAGTTTTCAAAGGCAAATTTGTCTCAGCTGTAAGTCGGGAAATTTACACCATCTGGCTGTAAATAAGAGAAAAACTTTACTCATTTAGGGACCTTTTCTAATATCTCATTTGAAAGTCTTTCTGAAACCGTGACACACCGTGATGCCTTGTAACCTCTCCAAAGAACTCCACTTCTAAAAGAAATATCAAAACTCTCTTTAAGATTTTTTTAAATCAAACTGTTCTACAGGCATACTTGTACAGCATTACTTTTAAAATTTATTTGGACTAAGAAGAGGCATGTCACACTGTTGGGTTTTCTAAAGGCCGCAGTGTTGTTGTCGTTTTTTAAAGTTTATTTTCCCTTCCTGTATGTTTTCGCTCCTCTTGTTCCTTTTCACTTTCCGTCCTTCTTTTGCTCAGTCTGCTCCCTTCCTTCTCACAGTCTAAGCAAACAGACATGGATTACAAAGCACAACTTTTTTCTAAAAATGCATGTTTTCTCAGGTGCCAGTGCAGTCGCGATGATTTCATAGTATATTGTGAAACTATATACAAAGAATACAAAGAAAAAAAAAATTAGATTTTTTTTTTCCGTTGCTTGATTCTGAAGAACAAACGCAAAGAGAAAATAAGCCAAAATGTGCCAGTGAAAGGGCTGCCGCCATCCTCGTGTGAAGATCTGCTGTTTAGCTGTGACTGCACAGTGTTTGGGATATTTTATCTGAAAATAGAAGTATTTATCATTAATATTAAAGCAATAGCGCATTAACAGTAATGAGTGTGCTGATGAAGAAACGAGTGAGAATATTAGAGGTAAATGTTAGATTCACATGTGGTGGGATTTTGTACTTTATTTATTATTAATACTAATAATGACATAATGATTTTAAGGTTTGCATTGCTAAGCCCAAACTCTCTTCTTTTCTTTTTTTTAAAAAGTGTTTTAATTTCATTTCATGGCTTGTATATTATCCTTTTTTATGTGCTCTTTTTGTAATAAACTGGATTAAACTGAAAAGTTCTTTCTCTTAGATTTTCTTCTGGAGCATCAAAGCTGAAGTGAATATCAGAATCGGAGTTTTTAAAATCTGTCGTCATTTATTGCGTCTTTCTACATGAATGCATAAATCTTCAGCGCAACAACGTCCATGTACTTTTGACTGAAGAAGAAACTTGACATACAATCTGCTTCTAAATTCAATAAGGTGTTGATGGAAGATCTAATATTCTGCTTTTAGCTCTGGCTTCCTGCTCCTGCTGCTTGTTTCTAACTATGTCAGACAACCCAATGACATTCAGTGCCAAACAAACTGTTTCATGCTCTGGGAGTAGAGCGGAGCTTCAATATTTTTAAGTAGAGAAAAAAAATAAATAAATAAAAAATAGAGTGGATCCCCAACTATTTGTGGTTGAGTATTGGCAGATTTGTTCATTTGTAAACATTTCAATACATCATATTTAAAACATTCGAACAAAAATGCGAATTAAACAGCTTAATGCAATGCTACTTGACAGCTTAATGCAGCTTGTATTTTCCTTAATGCTGATTGGAGGTGACCCCAAGAACAGAAATATGAGAAGTACTCTAGATGTCAGCTTCTGTGCTAACGCTAAGATTAGCTCTTTGAACTGGTTGCTGAAAATTTATATATTACCTTACCACACCGAAGATGGTATTCAGTGTTCATATTATGTTTGTTGTGTGAACTTTTAAATGATGAAGTCAGAGGTGTATTTATGGGGAAGCTCAAGTATTTTATTTATTATTGTACGATTGGAATCCCTAAACCATGTGAAAACCCAGAGTTCACTGTAAATATAAAAACAAAGTGTTCTCAGACTTTTTTTTTTTCCCATTCTGCTGATCTATTCATTCACCTCTGCATCCATCCTCCAATTAATTTCCATATTTAAAGCTTGATCAATGAAACATCTCAGAATGTGATTGCAGACTCTGCAACAGCTGCTTGACCCTACATCTAGGAATATGAGCAAAACCACCAAAGCAATTTACCTGTAAGGTGCTAAAAGACTCCCACAAGAAGCTAATGATATACTTTATTCATTTTTAGTGGCTACAAATGTGTGCAGCTTGGGTTTATGAATCAGCAAGAGATCTAAACAAAATTGAAATTGCGCTTGAGGTGAATACAAAACATTTTAATCTTGTCCAAAACATATATTTACAAAATTCACAGCAGGAAATAAAGATGGCACATTCCAATTTTTCCTGACCAAAGAAAGCAGAACTTTTACTTTTCCACAGTTTAAACAAGTCTGTAAATGAAAACATCATCCGTTCCTGAGATATAAAATGCACCCGAATTTTGGTAGCTTAATATATAAGGTAGGTCCTTCTGCTTTTGGCCCTTCAAGAAATTATTCCAGAGTCAGTACTTTGGGTAGAGCACCCTGGCAATCTGTCCGTCCGCTCTGGTCGTGTCCAGCCACTTCCCACAGAGGAAAATTGTGGTGACGCCATTGGCTGTGTTGGTGATTTCCACCCTGTCGAGCAACCAGCCAGGGCAGAGTCCTGAGTTATCGTGCTCCACTCGAACTCTCTGCAGATCGCCCATGTCCAGCATTTCCACCACAAAGCGATCAGTCTGCCCCCGTTCAAAGAGGTTACGAAGCCTCTGCCGCAGTTGCCGACTGCCTGAATCTCCATTGGAGCCGTAGATTGTAATGAAGACATTGGCATCTGTTCCCGCTCCCTTCTCGTCGCCTGTGATTATGATGATCTCATACTTGACGGGCACCAGGCTTCGAGCTTTGCTGGCGAAGCTCTCAACGGTTTTTGTGCACTCAAAGGTCAGGTAATCATCCCTCTTCGGAGAGAGCGGGATGAGGGCGTTGCAGCGGAAGATGTACCTAGGCAGGGAAAGAAGAAAATGGGAAGATTTTAGCTTACATACAAACAAATCTATGAGAGTTAGTAGAAATCAAATGTAACAATTCTCTTACTTGTTTCCAAGCTCCCTTTCAGTCACAACTACCTCCTCCACATGCCAGTAAGCCTCTCCTTTCACTTTTTTCCCATCTTTGGGTGTGTGGCCCAGGCAGATGGCAGCAATATCACCCACATTCTTTGAGGAAAACTCAAATCTGTCAACATTTCCCCTGAAAATGGAAAAAAAAATGTCTTGAAATTGATTGAAATCTAATAATTTGTTAATAATTCAGTTTTGACATTACACTATAATGTTATTGTAGTAAACAGTTTGTTGTTCAAATCATTTTTGCAGGTAGGATTAGCCTAGGCGCAAACAGCATAACAAAAGCAGCTTTACCAGGAAAAATGTCCAAACTAGATGGGGAAAACTTACCTCAAAAACCTCTTCTTCTTTGAAGAGTTCTCCATTACAAGTTCCTTTGATCTGCACTTCTTCCCCTCCAGTACGATCCAGGCATTTTCCTTGGTTTCGTCTGTGTCTCCAGTTGTGACGCAAATTTCGTACTCTTTCAGAGACAAAGTCCAGAACAGAGTCTTTGCAACATCTTCTAGCAGAAACTTCATTATTTAGCTTTAAGAAACAACACCCTTCACCCTGGTTTAATCCCTGGATAAAAATGTGTAACACAATCAGACTCTGGACCAGAGTCTGAGATTTTATTTTATGCTCTCTTCTGTTCAGGTTTTCTAAAGGATTTAGGCTTTGGCACTGAGGGAATTATTGTATTATTTCTATGTTGATGCACATTATGTTTTCAAACATTACCCTACTGATCGGCTTGATGGTGACCCATTTTCAGATCAGAGCATCACATTTTGTAACAAAAATGATCCTGGCTCTTCAAGTACTTGACAGTGGGAAGTGCTTTTCTATGTTCATCTATGTTAATCACATTTCTATGTTTCTATGTTAATCACATCAGACCCATTTATAGTGGCTGTTGCTATAAACCCAAACTTAGTTGGGCGAAGCACACAGTTGACATGTTTATCGAACTGTTTACATTTGTGATGGGAGAACAGAACACGTTTTTAGATGTGTATCCTCAGCAAGAGATGTAAAAAGTAACTTTTTACTCATCTTTACCAGGGGTGTCATACAGAGTGTACAATAGCTTACTTGTTTTCTCGTTGAGGTCTAAATAATCATTGTTTGCACAGGGCAGCTCTCTCATTATCTGTCCATCATCGTCTTTCTTGGAAAGCCAGCGGTCACAAGGAAAACGAAAGGTTTTGTCCAGAAACTCGTCCTTCACATCAATGTGCTCCAAGTGCCAACCTGGAGCCATACCTGCAAAATTTGTGAAAAAGAATAAGGGAGTGACAGCAATTCGTCTGATAAACAAAAAATTAATTGGCCTGTTCTGAGGTAAACATTGAACATTATTTTTTCTTAAATTAGAATAAGGATTATTTTCTTTTCTACCCTTTTCCTGCATTTCTTTTTTTTTTTTTTTATAAAAAAAACATCAAATGTACAATTTTACTGGTTTATAAATCTTTATTGATCTGGGATTTTTATCCTAAAAAAGTATTTTTGGACAAAGCTTCACTCTTTTAAAGGAGGAACTAAAAAGAATAATACAGTTAAATTAACTGTGAAACTACATATATACACAAGAATTTTAATAATGTCTGACATTCAATAAATTTGAATGTCAAAAAAATATGTATGTTTTAGCTATTTATTAAATTGTGGTCCTTCATGCCACTAAATTGCAATCTGTTCATAAAATACAGCTTTCAGTGCTTCACAAAAAAAAGAAAAAAAAGAAACATGAATTAGAGACAACAGAAATTACTCAAACGAAAAATTATCAAAGTCAGATGGTCACTAAATACCAGGTAGTCTGATTACAGCTAAGTCACTGTCATCATTGCTAATTGAATCTTCCCGTTATGCACAGGGACAGTTCATCTGAGGAGCTGACCTGAGTTGTCGTGCCAAACTCTGACTTTGGAGAGGTCTCCGAGGCTGAGGATATCAGGGAAGCGAAACATGTCCACCTGTTTACGTTCAAATTTGTTGGACTTTGTGGACTCCTTCAGTGCCAGCGTCCCCGTGTCACCGTTCTCTCCAAAAACAATGACCCACACGTTGGCGTCGGTGCCCGCTCCTGTGCGGACAGAAAAGAAAGATGTATTTAGGAATTAAGGTAGACTAAACAAGCTCTTTCCAAAATCACGCAATTACAAGAACTGCTATAAGACTGCAGAGTGGAGCGATTGAGTTACAAGTTTTATGGCATTTAAGTTTTGTTGCTTGTTTTCAGCATATTTTTCTCTCTTTTTCTGCAATGTGCTGAGAATTCTATAATATTGAGGAATACAAAAGCATTAGAGAATAAAAAAATAGGATTTAGGTAAATTACTTTAAATTTGTTTTGGATTTGATCTAACTTGTGAATGGTTATAATTTTACCTATAGATTAAAATAAAAAGTTGCCTCTTAACTGCACACTTACAAAAAAAAAAAAAAGACAAGCAAAAAGCAAAAAACATGAAATTAAAAAAACACTGACTGCTCATGACAGGAAATCAACCAGTCTAAACCAACATTTCTCATGACAGAATAAATCCAGGGGCTTGTTGATGGTTTTAAAAAGCTTAGAATGACTGACATTCTTTAAAATATTGTTATTCATGTATTATTTTGCCCGTGTATTAATTAAAGACTATTCACAATAAATCCAAGCAATGCATGTGCAATTTTAATGAAAGTTGTTTGCTATATATTAATTCCATTCTGAAAAAGAATCACATTAAGAACTAAAATGAATTTGAGATTCATCTTAGTGAGGAATGTATAAAGACTTTCCAGTTCATATGTTATTATTCTACATGTGTGTCTGAAATTGAACGAGAAAGCTTCACAGTCCAGCTTGGTTTTAAATACACGGACACGACAAAGTTGATTATAAGAACTTATTTTAAATAAGTTAGGACTTTGTTTTCATAATTTTTGTGCAAATGGCACATCTCAGGTTGCGCAGGCAATCAGAAAGCATTTTCTGCCTGCATGCTCCATTTCACCTCTTGTCATGTCATTTGCATGCATGTGGCCG